ACAACTGGTTTACAGAACAAAAATATCTTTAAAATGTCTTAACTTTTTTCAGTGCTAATGCTTAAAGTAGCATTATGAGAAGTGCTATTTTTGCTCTTGGGGTCCCCGTACAGTTTATTTCTCTTTTACGTCACTGTCATGAATACAAATCGTATTATGAGCCCCCCTCATGGACGACCGTACACATACATTTGTTGACAAGCTGAAGGATACAGAATCCGACTCCCCCTTCATGTGCACACCTGTCATGCAGGCATATAGACGCTACAGATTACACTTGCAATTTCAGTTACTTCTATGTGTAAATCTACCTAATCTGTAGTGTCCATATGCCTGCATGACACGCATGCACATGAAGGGCAGTCGGATTCTGCCGGTGAGATGGAATTCAATACAACATCGGCAAAGACAACATCAGAAGGGAAAGAACCATGTCAACTTACAAGGTGGAGTAATATTACAGGATTTTATTCCAGGATGTTGCAAACTTTTGATGTGGTGTGAGATTGACAAAGACTGACCAAACATTTTGCTGTTAGAGATGAATTTATTTCTTCAAGCTAACCTGAAACGGGACTGAGATTAAATCACTTTTGGTTGCAAAATGAGGCAGAGATGACACAAATAGAGTTACAGGCTATGTCACATCTTTCATAAATAACACTGGCAGGAATGTAACCTTAAACTCTGCTGTTGTTCTCCAGTTAACCGTGAGACTGTCTTACATTCTTTTATCTCTTTTAGCTCTCATCAACCAGTCTCTCATCAGTCTCTTGCTCGGTCATACTCACTTTTTTTTTCTTTGCTTCCTCCCACAACCTCTTCTACAGTCTCTTCGCAGCCTCTGCTTTGATGTCCATGCTGGAAATAGCGAGCTACGTCTTATAGCTAGCTGATGCTGAGTTGTTGTCATGTGACTTGGTGCCATAAAGTTTTACGCAGTTCTCGCAAGAAATTTCGTGCCCGCTCTAAAGTTACAAAGTGCTATAGCAGGCAATCCAGGCCTGGAGTGGCAACAGCAGAGACACCATTCTCCATATTATAAGCCAAGATGCCATCAAAATGTAGCTATGTTATAACTGAAGTTTGAGGGGAGGAGCATGGCTGAAACCCCTCCTTCTTTCAATCTAACGCCCTATAAATTCACATCCTCACCTTCCGTTCCCGTGACGACGTGTTCGCAATCCCCACTGCCACCCCATCTCCTCCCCATTCCTCAGTCCTGCATCAGGCCTACTACAGCTATGAGGGGGGATCTGGCCTTCTAGCTACAGGCAGAAGCCGCCCAGAACTCCAGCCCAAGTTCTCAGAGTTCCCCCCCCCTCTCTCAATCAATTCTTCCTCATACTATCACCACATGTTGAAGGCATGGTCTGAACTCACAAAACGATTATAAAGCTGTTATTTCAAGATAAAATTCTTACATGATGTTGCTTTCATTTGTTTAATTTATTAATTACTAAAGAGATGGACATGTGACAACCTGTTACACAAGGAATTTTGTCTCACTTTAAAAAAAAAAAAATATTCAGCAATGCTTTCATTTATTTTATTTTTTTTAATTAGTGGTATAATGAGGCCTATTGTTTCTGGATTTCTTATTGAAAAAGAGTGCTGTTTTAAAAGCCTGTAATTCAGCAGGTGCTTTTTCTCTTCACACCACACCTGATGAACTTTAACATTGTGAGCTAATGCTTAAGCAGGTAAGCAGGTGTTCATGTTTCTTTTGGTGAGAGACCATAAAACCAGGTAAACAGTTGACAATTTACTTGTGATTTGCAAGATTTGCAAAGGTTTATAACAGCACCTGGGGTTGCTAATACCAACAGATATAACATCAAAATAAAGTTTTGACCTCTTATGCATATGGATATGTTTCAATTTTAAAATCTCAAAGTTAGAACAAGTATGTACATAAACACAGCGAAAAAATGAAGGTGAAACAATGTTCTCATTACCATACTTTTGTAGTCTTGACCTGAACATTTTATGTCTGCATCCTCAGTAAGTGTAGATATTAACAGTGTGACCACCTACCCTTCTGACAACCAGCTCCAGTCTCTGTTATAACTTCTGCCAACCTCCGCGTTGTTTTCTCTGTACAGTTCTGTAGCGTATCTGATAATAGAATAAAAATCAAGAATTAGGACTGAGTGATATCCATACAAGAATTAGTAATAAATAGTTACTTCTGTCAGCTTTGCTATTTAGGTCAATTAAAACTAAATAAAAAGTTTGCAAAAATAGTGATTTCTGATATTTTAATAGTTTTTAATGCTACATTTTTAATGCTACATATAGCTACTTCTAATAGCTAGCTGATGCTAAGTTGTTGTTAAGTAATATGGTGTTGTAAAGCGTTATACAATTCTTGTGAGAGGTTTCGTGCCCGCTCCTCTAAAGTCACATAGTGCTATAACAGGTGTTCCGGGCCTGGAGTGGAAATGACAGAGACTCTATTCTCCCTATTATAAGTCAGAGTACCATCAACTTGATTTTGAACACTACACTGTTAACCAGAACATAGTAATTATAAATTTTATCAAACTCCACAGTCCTATGAATGTCATATTGTGATAATAGTATGATATTACTATATCACCCAGCCCTAGTGGGTTGCTCTGAAGGACAGCAGAGGAGATGCCAGGCATGACTGTTTGAGGCTGAAAGTGTGGCCTCCTGCACGGAGCCCTAACCACATAATAATAATATTTGGGAGGAGTTCATTCATGAGGCCTAATGTTGGGCTATTAACCAAACAAGCCTTTCATTCACATTGAGTCACTCTTTGTTTCTTACTGGGTTGGCCTGTGAGATGGTATCTCCAGCACATTTGTGGGCATTGTTTAGAGGCAGATTATACAGACCGCTGGATTTGTTGGCCGAGTCAGAGTTGCAGTGAGCTCCATCACGTTCACGCTATAGCTTAAACGCAGAAGGACAAACTGTCATCAGTAAGGTCGGACACACTGTACCATTAGAGTTTATCAAGTTCTTTTGAATTTGCTCTGATAATGAGTTTAACAGAGACTCCAGTTTTATGTCACTTTGGCACACTGCTTGGAGACTAGTGCTAGTGGGGTGGAGGGGGGTGTCCAGCCTTCTAGCTACAAACTGTAAAAATGGCTTGTGTGGAAACAAGTAAATTAACTAGTTTTATTCAACCTAAATAAATACTTTGAATGAACAATTATTTCAATCAATGTGAGCCACCCAGAACTCCAGCCCAATTTCTCAGAGTTCTACCCCCTTCCTCAACCATTCTTCCCTCAAACTAACACAAAATGTTGAAGCTGTGGTCTGACCTCGCTAAATATGTACTGCTGATAATAGTAAAACAGTAGTATATCCAAAAATGCCCCAGATGAACCTCTCTGCTTTGAAAGTATTTTAAAAAATGCGTTTTAGGACAAAACCTTTTCAAGACTAGCATAAAACAATGTCTGAGGCTTTAGACCATTCATGTAATAGTTTCCAGTAAAGTAACTTTTAGACATATTAAATGCTTCTGATGTCTCGTTCCTATTACTACTGTTGTGGATAATTCAGACTCAGTTTATCTAGAACGGAGCATTTCACACCAAACCACTCTGAATGATTTTGCTTATATCTATCCATTTGATGATGCAATTTTTTTAAAAATACTGGTGGAATTCCACTATAAAGAATACAGTTTTTTTCAACCAGTCCCTTTCTGCCACATATGTGGCATACAGTCAGTTACTATACACAATAATTTCAATGTTTCCCTCTGATCAATAAAATAAGAAGAAAAAAATATTCTAAACACTATTATAATCGAAATTAATGGGCAGATGCTGAATTAATGGCCTACTATCTTCTAATTTAAGTGAGTTTTGAGTCAGCAGGTCATTTCTGTTCTGTTTCTAAGTACCAACATTATTGTCTACATTAATCCCCTGCATAAAACAGATACAGCACATGGAGATTAAGTTAAAAAATGCTGGTGTATTCTTTTTATCCTTTGAGATCAATGTAACATCTGCTGTTTCTTCTGTTTAATCTACTCTTTACCATTAATAACATGATTTCTCAGTGCTGTTGTTGCTTCTGATACATTTTACCTTGGTCATGCATGTGTCATAACTACTTTAATTAGTTAAAAGGGATACAGCCAAAATTTCTGAATGTATTGCTGACGAGATGTTAGGTTTGTTGGAGATAGCCTCCAACTGCAGGGCCACTACTTTCACTGGCCGAATTGATATTAATTTTGTTATTTTGCATTAATATAATAAAATATTTTTGTCTGAACTCTTATCAAATGATGTGACTCTATGTTGAGCTGCTAGAGAGCAATGAGGGAGGTGGAGGCGTGATTACCTCCTGCTGTGAAAACAATTCACACCTCTCAACAAGACAGACAAACCAGACTGCATCTTTCGCAATGTCAAAGGAAAACTGCCACAAGGAAAAATGAGCATTTTAACACAATGAGAACACTTGCTTGCTCATCTACGAAGACAAAAATCCAGTTTTGTAACTGGAAATATATTTCATCAACGTTATGGAAGAAAAAATGCAAAGCTCAGCTAAAGAACCTCTAAAGCAAATTGCATATGGCTACTCTGAAAAAGCGTTTTAAGTTTAAAACTACTCTAAAAATCAGAGAAACTGGTGACCTCTTATCTTGCCTGTACCTGAACTAAAGCATCAGCTCCACTGCTTTTTCTACTGACAGACTCATCAGAGACAAGTTGCAGTTTGATCAGCGAGGCAAAGCCAACATATATGATTACATCTCCCAAGGCTGCTTTGGTTCTGAACAGCATATTGAAAAACCAGACCGCAATCTATCCCTGCAGGAAATGACCAACTCTAACCGCCACTAAACAGTCATGGTTTGCGGTTACACCTTCACCCTGTAAACAATAGCACTTTGATCCCTGGGTCTTGCACAGAGGTATACATTGTACACTCCTTCACTGAAGGTCACTGAAGAGTTAAGGGCTACCAGGACTGGGGAGGGTTGTGTGTGTGTGTATGTGTCTGCATGTGTTGAAGATGAGGACTGAATATGCATGTCACTTTCATTGTTTGCCTTGTAAGAACCCTTTCGCAGTAGGACCCAGAAGATTGTTCCCATCCATCAGCACTGGACAAGTACACCTTTATGGGGTCTCTGCCAAAACTAGGATGTAAAAAAGGCTCCACAAAGTAGTTCTTCTCAGTTACAGAAAAAAAGCCTCCTGTCAATTGGCTCCAGGCATCTGATAGGAAAACACAATGGTTCCTGATGTCAGACTTCTGACAGCTATATATGAATGGCCAGGTAGCACATCCTTACTGCTCTGAAGCCTCCACACTCTGGATATACAGTCATTTCAACGCAACGAGGCATTTTTTTAAGGGGACACAATGAGCACATCTGTGGCTGTGTACAGGAATATATACACAGAGGACCGTTTCAGGCAAACCTTCGGTACGGAGGCTAAGCCGAGTGGAAAAACTCGCCTCAGAGAGACGCTTTCCAAACCGTGCAGGTGTTCCCGGGAGACGTGCCTTCACCTGTTGAAAGAACGAGTGCCCATTTTCAGCTGGCTGCCAAAATACAGACTCAGGAAATGGATTTTAGGAGATACTGTGGCGGGGTTGACCGTTGGTATACTCCACATTCCCCAAGGTAAAGCCACTTTTGCTGCCTTTGTTGTAGGTTGAGTGTTACATGGCTCGAAATCCCAACGCGGTTATCATCCACCGGCTGGAGTAGCGTAGCTTAGCCGTTAGCTAAGGCAGAGTGATACTGCTTCCATTCGCTCAGATATGTGTGCTGAGGTAACGTTAATATTTTGTTGTGTTTGCAATTTTCTGCGTATTTGAATCGTTTTATATACACCCAAGTATGTTGTGAGGAGACTTTTCTTTCAGTTTGAGTCATTAAAATGGAAAACTTTAACAAAAAAACAAAAACAAAACAAAAACAAAACAAAACAAAACAAAACAAACAAACAAACAAAAAAAATATATATATCAATTCTTCTGCTTAATTGTAAATTCAGTAAACCTGGTCTGAGTTGCCCCAACTTCTTGCCCAACTGAGTTGCCCCAACAGCTTTAGCTAGCATTTAATTTTAGACCAAAATGAGAGGAATATTTTGGTGTAAAATAAAAGTCCTTTATCTTATAAAGCTCCTAACAAACTTCAGTTCCTATGCTGATAGATGCTGGATGTACTAAGTTCCACTGCACTGTTATAAATAAAGGTTCTGTGCAGGTACATTCTTCTTCATTCATCAAGGTACAAACAATGTAAATGTTCCCTCAAAGGTGGTTGAGGTTCCCTCAACCCAATTGTGAACCCTAAATACTTTTTCAGGTGAAAAGTATGTATTTGTACCTTTTCCTAATCTAATGTTTTAAAACAGAACAATAAATAAAAAGCCTGCAGACGAGACGGAGTGTGTGGAGTCAATACAACTTAGAAAATATAATTTCAATGGATTAGAGTGAGTTTAGTACCTTTTTTTCCAGTGTGCAGTTCTGTTTCACTCTGTGCATTTTTTCACTGAAGTAATAAGAGTTGAGGATGCGCTTAGACTACTCTACAGTCCTCTGGTGATTGGCTTAAACTTCTGCACCTCACTCCCCTTTTTATTACTTTGTTACCTGTAAATAGAAGAACACCTTTCCTAGACTGCTTACTTAATGTTGAGTTTTGCATTCAGTCCAGCAATAGTAGCCCTATAAGTTAAGTTTACCTTTAGAGGTATTTGATGTTCAATTGCTTTTTGAAACGTGCATTTGGTGAGGTAACATGGCAATAACTACACAGAAAACTTCATTAGTATGAATGTATGATTAAGCCAAGTAATTAAGTCAATTGAAGATGCAGTCATGTGTTGACAAGACAGTAGGAACTGCAGTCTGTATGAAAATTGTCCATGTCAGTTGTTCATCTCTTTTTACAGTGCAGAGTCTTGTGTCTGTGTTTAACATTATTACACAGGCTAAAGATTTCTGTTGCAGTTCTTTCGCTGCACTATGGATTTGACATCTTTTAGGTTGGCTTCATCATTGGATGTACTTTTGTGTACTTTATAATCATCTTAAATAGAGTGAACACATTTGATGTGGATCAGCATGTCCTATACCTGTGATATTACTCTTATTCCAGTCAGGTGAGTAAAGTCTCACGGTGTGATTTTTTTTTTTTCAGGAATGGCTTTTGCGTTGTTGACATCAGTGGCTCCAATCTATGGCCTTTACACATCATTCTTCCCTGTGGTGCTCTACATGCTCTTCGGGACGGGACGCCATGTCTCCACAGGTAACTCTTTATCAGTACAGTACAGTAGTTTTTTCTGTCAATATGAACTTTTAACCTTTTCACTGTTTTTTTTTATGTATTTATTTTATAGTGCATTGTCATCTACAAAAATTGTCAGTTTAGAGTCTCATGTAACAAATCACAAGTCCAATTAATGAGATCATAACAGGGTAATCACTATTGTAAGAAGTGACATCAACAAGTGAGAGTCAGAACTGCACCAGAGTACAGCAGATCATGTACATCAAGTAATTCAGAGTTTTGTTTGCAGACATATGTAGAAGTTTAAGCAGCCTTGGTCAAATGACATGTTTTGTTGTTTTTTTAAGTAAAAATACATTTTTTGTAGTTCACAATTTCTATGTATATGTTTAACATAACTTTTGCACAGGACACATTTCATGTTTTATTTTTTTTCCCCAGTATGTTAAATTAGTGAAATAAACAGTAATTTTGCATTTAGATGTGCAGACATTTGTTCTCTGTAGAGGATGTCTAAACTTATTTTCCCTTCCCAATCAACAAAAACATGTAATTTGACCAGGGCTGCCCAAATGTTTGTGTTATATTATATACAGTCTATATATTATATACATATATGTGTAGATGTCTATACACTGTAGACTATACATTTTTTTAGATCTTGTAATTGAAGTAGCTGTGCTGTCATTTGTAAGACTTGCACTACATTATTTCAAATGTAAATGTACAGTAAACTAGTAGGAACTGAGTTGCATTACTATTACAGTTGATATGTAAATATGTACAGATTACTGTAAGATTACTGTAATTCCACATATACTGTGCAGCATACAGCAAACATCACAGTAGTGAGTGAGGGCTCAGTTGACTGTAAACTCAAACAGTTGTTATTTTAACTGTTATTTACTGTTAATATGGTAAAATTAATATTAATTCATTTATATGAATAAATATAAGATGACTGGATACTAGTACTGCACTATAATTTTTTAAAAAAATCCAGATTACTTCTAGTTTTACAAAGACTTCTTCATTTTTAAAATTGCACAGGTACTTTTGCTGTGGTGAGTCTGATGACTGGCTCGGTGGTCGAGCAGCTGGTGCCCACTCCTCCTGCTCTGAACTCCAGTAGCATAGAAGCTGGGGAGCTGGAAGCACAGAGGATTGGGGTGGCGTCGGCTATAGCGTTTCTTTCAGGAGTGATGATGGTAAGAAAACAGCTCAACATGTGACACAAGCAGTGTGAAAACATTTCAGTTGTATACTGTATGTGTTATAGGCTGAGCTCGATTGTGGGGGGGCTCAGAAATATGCCCTTGCGTAATGACAGTCTGCCGCCTATGTTTATGGCTTTCGTCCCCAGCTCTGCATGTTTGGTCTGCAGTTGGGCTTCCTTTCCACATACCTATCCGAGCCCATTGTTAAGGCCTTCACCAGTGCAGCCGCCTTTCATGTGACTATCTCGCAGCTGCAGAGCATGCTGGGATTACGGCTTCCTCGCTACACGGGCACCTTCTCTCTCTTTAAGGTTAGATGCTTCGGAAAGACATTATAACACAGAACATAAAATTACATGGAAGAACTATAAGGAGGAGGATAAATCTAAATTTAGGAAATTCTCTAACATAAAGGGGAATTTCATCACTTTTTTAAATATTTCTGCATTATTCAGTTTTTGAGATTTAAACAAATTAATTTAGAGTTGTTTGATGTTTAATTGAAGACAAAATTTACCAACTTGGATATGTTTACAGTGGTGGTGATGTGAACCAGGTGTCACAACGCAAATATATCCATTTTATTAACTATTCAAAACCACCAGTGAATCTACACGTGCCTTTGTGAGTTTTTATTTTGGACAATTTCTGTCGCTTTTGATAGCAACTAAGTATTGAACTGAAATAATTCTCTGAATTTTATTTATGCTGTCAATTTTCAATGAAGTTAAATACAGTCATGCCTGTAAAAGGGTGTCTTGTTAACCATGTTCCACAGACTCTGGCCTCAGTGTTGGAGAACCTACCCCACACTAACCTGGCTGAGCTGCTGATCTCTCTCCTGTGCCTAGCTGTGCTCATTCCAATTAAAGAAGTGAACACACGCTTTCGACAGCGCCTGCGCACACCCATTCCTGTGGAGATTCTCACAGTAAGCCATTCCCCCTCATACAAAATCTAGAATACATTATTACAAATAAAAATGACAAAAAAGGACTATGGACTCCTGGAGATCTGTTTCCTGCAGAGTTCAGTTCTAACCTGCAGCTAATATGCTGCCCTTTTCCCATGCCTGCACTAATGCATCTGATCCAGCCAATCAAAGTCTTCTGAAGAAGTTAATTAGCTGTAGCAGGTGTGGCAGGTTGTGCTTTGAACTATTGTCCACAGGAAGGCAGATGTCCAGGACCAGTATTGGTGACATCTGCCATAAAATAACCATTTTTCTTCTCTGAAGAACATTTAATTGGATGGTTCTTTAAATAAACAATTTAGTAAATTAGGTATGTGGATCCTCTGAGATCCTTTATGTAATGTAAAGATTTTATAACATTTCAAGGATCCCCTGGCACCATATGTCCAAACCAAGAACCATTTAAGGACCTTTATTTTTAAGAATGCGATAAAAACATTCTACTTTCTCATTCATCTTTTCTTGTAATGTTTGGTTTACTTCAAAACCCGGTTGTGCCATTTGCTCTGCTCATATTCTTTTTGTCTGTCCTGTAGGTAATAATTGCCACAGGAGTTGCTTATGCCACCTCTCTCGATTCCACATACGATGTACAGATAGTGGGTCATATTCCAGCAGGGTAACTGTTATTTCTAAATTTTCATTGTTCTTTTATATCTGAAATTACTTTACAACATTGATGGCAATCATGGGGAGTTGTAACATCAACACTATGACTTACACGTTGTTTTGCAGTTTCCCTCGGCCTCGGTTGCCTGCTTTGCAGACAGTGCCAGATATAGCTGGTGACACAGTTGCCATCACGTTTGTAGGCTATGCTGTGTCTGTGTCACTAGCAATGATATATGCTGATAAGCATGGCTATTCTATTCACCCTAATCAGGTAAAGCTTTTCTAAAATTCTTCATTATATATGATATAATGCCATATAATAAAATAAACATAATTATGTGTAATATAATGACCCTGGATAAAAATTGTTATGCATCCCCTTGCCTTAACAACAGTGTTAGTCCTGTCTGGTAAGGATTACACTGTTCTTCCACTAACTGGGTGCACGTTTTAGTTGGAGTTCCTGTGTGTGCCTATTTTAGCATTTCACTTGCAGTTTCTGACTGAGAACTGGGATTGAGATCTCGTGATTTTGCTGGTCATTCAAAGTGTGTTTAATAATATCTGTAGAACCACACAGATTTAGATATATATGCCCTACAGTTGGCATCCAGGGATGTGGGGGTGCTGATGTTGTGTTCTGCTCAGACATGAAGCACCGTTAGTGGAAGAGTGAGCTAAAATGGACATGATCTCTCAAGAAACTGGTGTACTTCTGATAGGATTGGTGCTGTCTTCAAGGCATGGGGATGTGTAAAGTATTAAAGAAGAAATGATGCATGTGACTATTTTTTGTCCATGGAGCAGATTATAATTATAATAGTTATTTCCGACCTAGCAAGGTGATTGGCTGAGAGGCATTCATGAGAATGGCAGCCAGCATATGGACTATTTTTATTATTATTTTTAAAATGTACTTTCATTTGTTGATTTTATGTCATTGTCTCTAAATCTAATAATAAATGACATTTATAAAACCATGGTGTAATTACAGTATACACTCAAGGTCATGCAATACTGTGAGATATTGCCACTGGTGTGCTGATTAACTGCCTTTGTGCCAATATTTCAAGGTAAAGCACACCCTTGTTGCTGCATGTTTATAACTAAAAAAAAGATTTTTTCACATTTTCTCTAATTTATTGCAGGAGTTGCTGGCACATGGGATTTCCAACACAGTGTCTTCTCTCTTTACCTGCTTTCCCAGTTCAGCCACACTGGCAACCACTAACATTCTGGAGAGTGCTGGGGGATACACACAGGTAGCATATGATACCTCATCTAGTGTGGTCATATCATGATGCTCGATGAGGTCCCATTTGCATATTTTTCCCTTCTCACTTTTTACCTGTAGGGCAGCTATTGCAATTAATCTCTAAAAGTGATTCATTGAACCAGGGGAGGTACTGTAATGTAATGTGTTGGATTAGACAGACTAGTTCATATAACATAAATGATCTGTGTAATGTCCGTAAATTTGTGCTCTGATCTATAGTTATTTGTACACAACAGGAAAAAATGCACCTAATTCTAGGCCACAGAAACAGAACATCACCAACTAATTAACTACACACATACATAGTTTGAAAGATTATAATGTAGATTTTCAGTCTGACAAAGGATGCTGAATGTCATATTCTGCATAAATGACATTTAACACTTATCATTATAAATTATTAAATAACAATAGAAGCTTGCTCAGTTGGTAAATGCCAGATATAGGGTAAGGTGATGTAAAGTTCACATTATACTTCATTACAGAATTTGGATCAATATTATATTATTTGCTGTGATAAATCACACCATACATTGAACAATGTCTATTTCAGTTTTGTTATTAAGTTACCTCCCCAGGTAATACTAATCCAACTTGATTAAGGCTTAAGTCTGTTCATTTGTTAAATCTGCTAGCTTTCAGGCCTGTTTACAAGTCTGGTGGTGCTGGTGGTGCTACTGCTCATCGGTCCTCTGTTCTACTTCTTACCCAAGGTAAGGGTCTGCACGGAACCGTATGTACGAAATTATACATCAGTTTAAGCTCAACTGTAGCAGCAGATATATTGTGTTTTTCTCTCCAATAGGCTGTCCTTGCATGTATAAATGTGACCAGCTTGAGGCAAATGTTCCTCCAGTTCCAGGATCTTCCAGACCTTTGGAGAGTTAGCAGGATTGACTTTGTAAGTATTGCACCATTAGTGTGCAACCTTATGTTTAATATTCTGGATATTAATATCAGTGAACATTTAAATGAAGTGTATTTGAAATGTTGTGTACAGATGGTGTGGCTAGTGACCTGGCTGTCCGTGGTGGTGCTCAATGTGGACCTGGGTCTGGCCATTGGAGTGGTTTTCTCCATGATGACTGTTGTTTGTCGCACGCAGAGGTAGCACAACAATTAACAATAGGAATGTCTGCACTGTTGCCATTTTTCTAAAGCGCCAAAAAAAGACCTTTCGGTCACTGACCGAATGAGTCTGTACTACTCACAGATGAGTTGTTATCACTCTAGGCATCAGGGAAGGATAGAATAAGCTCTCCAACTGGAGCAGCCCCATTGAAAGTAAACATCGAGCACATACAGTAATATAATTGCCTGTGTAAATAGAGACTGAAACTACCTAATTAGATTTGTGCATTTATCAGCTACAATAATCATGTTTACTATATCCTCTAATTATGCTTTCCAAAGCTCAGGGGCAGTATGGAAAAAAACTGTGAACTGTGAAGTATCCCTTACAGAACCCCCTGTTCCAAAACATCTCTCTCCTGGAGGATGTATCAATTCCCCATAAGGTTCCCCATAAGAAGAGGGCAAATAAAGTTGAGACATAAATATGTACAGGAACACTTTAAAAACTCTTTTCTCATTTCTGCAGGGCTGGCTGCTCAGTTCTGGGCAGGGCATCCAATACAGAGATCTACAGGCCCATCGACAACCACAATAAGGTGATGCAACATCATAAAATCATGCTAGCAATCTTTTCAATCTTTCCTACCTTTATACTTAAAATATAGAACAGATTATATGCAAATAAATTACAGTACTGTGCAAAATTAATTTCCAAACAGTCTAAAAACCTGTTGACACAAAAATCACTTATATTTGCTCTTGTTTTTTTTTTCAAGATAAAACATTATGTACGTCATTCATTTTTCATGAGATATTTCTTAGATAGAAGATAATCCACTTGCATAAGGAAGGGGGAAGTCTAAGGAAAATAAGTGGAAAAACAAGAGTTTCCAAAACTGGTGTTCCATTTCATCCTTCCACTGTAAGAAGACAGCTTAACGCTGTGAGTCTGAAAGGATGTGAAGCTCTCAAGAAGCTGTAACTGAGAAAAAGAAACAGACAAAACAGAAGAAAATTTGCGCTAGAACACAAAAACTGGACATCTGGAGTAAGGTTTTGTGAACTGATGAGTATAAATTTGTAATTGAAATTATTAGAATCGTGAGAAACCAAGAATGCAACCAACTTCTAAGACTGAGCTTTAGAGATTTCTTTGAAAAGCTGAAGGCAAGTCTTACAAAAAGAATGGACGCTGTAAAAAAGGCAATAAGTGGACACATAAAATATTGTAAAGTTTGGTCTCTGACTTTTGCACAGTACTGCATATGAATCTATATAAATTTCTAGTTCTAGTAGGACTGCACAATATGTTGTTTGTTCATTTTTAGAAAACCAAGAGTTTGGAAGAATAAAGACATTCACATAATCCAGTGTAATTTTAGAATATTGCTAGGCATATTGTGATCACTAAGTAAAGCAGTATGATCACAATAAGGTATTTTGTCCAGCTCAAAGACCTAGTAATGATCAGAGGTAGTTTTCAGGTATTTATGCTCATCCTGTCTTGTGCTCTAGTGTTATGAAGTCCCTGGAGTGAAGATCCTGACCTACAATGGGCCTATCTACTATGGCAATCGCAGTTTCTTTAAGGCAGATGTGAACCAGCTGCTGGGCCTCACCCCTGAGCGTATCCGGTGCCGCGAGAAGGCCAGGAAGGCCCTGGAAAAGAGAGAGAGAGAAGCCATCAGTACAGTGGTGAGATATCAATCACTGCACTCGATTAAATTACTAATCACAACTAGCCACAAAACTTACTTTATTATTTATCTGATTTTCAGGAAAGAGAAGTAGCAAACACATCATTTTCCTCTGAGAATTCTGACTTTTTCAAATCAGGTGAGAAAAAAATGATCTTTAATGTAAGGAATGACTGATGTAACTTTTGGTTTGAAAATCAAAATTGAATATCTGAAAACAAAAAAAAAAGTGGCATTGATTTGTGTCATTGCAGAAATGTCTGAGAATGAAGTCCAGGCAGTACTAATCGATTGCAGCAGTGTTATTTTTGTGGATGTTGCAGGGGCCAAGCTATTCATACAGGTAAGCTGAGCCATCTTATCTTCATTACCTTTGTCTTTTGCAAACAGCTGACTGTGAATTTTGCCTTTTATAGATGTGTGTTGAATGTCAGAAGATGGGAGTGAGGATACACTTAGCAAATTGCAATGGTAAGTCTTATGTTTATGCAAATTGTTTCACATAACGTGTTTAAATTAAAGAAACCTATCCACTGGTCAGAATTCTTAATTATAACCAACTCAAAAATGGAATTTCACAGAATGAAACCCTTTAATGAAGAGATCTTTTGTTTTTATAGAGAGTGTGTTGAAGATTCTCACATCAAGTGGCCTGATGAACTACATGAACCCACAGCACATCTTTGTCACAGTCCATGATGCTGTAGTCTACATTCAGCAGCAGAGGGTATAAATGACTGTTTATTCTGCATCTCCTTTTTTATCGTTTTTTCAGTAACACTTTCATAAGAATACATAACATCTACGTAAACCTTTCATGAAGACTGAAAGAAACCTATATAGATCTGTATAAAGGCTTAATCAAGTAAGCATCAGTTGTCAAGCTTACTGAGCTAAATGACAGCAAAATTGACAAAAGCAGCCTTTATGACTTCTGATGCTTATTGGAATAAGCCTTTCAAAATGTCAGTTGTCATGAAAGGCTTAAGTAGGCATCATATAGCCTTATGAATGCTGCCCTTTCATTAAGTCTTTCTGATTTTTCTATACTGAGCAAAACTGGATGATCCTGTCAAGTATTTGAAGAAATACAACAGTGTTTTCCCAGCTAATCTCTGTCTGCTGCATCTTTATCATACCAGTGATTACAGTGGAGAGTAATTAGGATGTATTTCCTTTGTCTGAAAACCCATTGACTTGAACCTCACTAAAATGAGCCATTGGTTTCAGCTTTCCAATTCTGGATTTATATCTCAAAAATACGCATTTACTGACAATTCAGCAACTGACTATTGGCTTCTGTTGTGTGTTTTGAGTCAGTCAGTGTTCTGTTTTTTTCTAAGTACATGGAAGTGCATCAAAAAGATTGTCCTCATTAATAGACAGTTGCTACAGATGTGTCAGACTGGATTGAAAGGGGTGAACTTTTAGTATAGTCGGTAAACTAGAACTTGGGTGTAAGTGAGTTTATCATGATTGGCATTATTTTTATTGTTTCCTCTTTTTGTTTCACAGGAGAAGCCTTCAGAAAACACCATGATTTGGGTGTGAATGCCTAAATCGTCACTGAATGGAGTGAATCCAGACTTCAATTTAACACTCTGTCCAAGAGCTTTGGATTTGGAAACTCCATTTCGGATAGCCACTATGATTTTTAGCTGTTTCTATCTTAAATAGAAATATTACTTTAGAGCATACAGCTGCCGTTAAAATACACTTTAGCTTCCAGTGGGGAACCGTCAGAGCCTTCTAGGCCTTCTGAGAAGGCCTAATAATTTCTGTGAAATAAAAATATGTTTGTAATTTTTAATTCATTTTTTATAATACAGTCATCATGCTTGTTGTATTTAAACTCTACAAGTGTTGTAGTAGTACCTTTATTTTCATATTTTGACTGGAAACAAAGGGGTTAATTTCTTGAAACGCCCAATGGAAAATGATCCAATCAGGATTTTTTCTCTGTGGTATCCAGGCAGATACGGCTAATCGAGTTCTCCCATTGCTTAGGATTTCAGGAGCTTAACTGAAGGTCTGTGCTGTCAGATTAACAACTAATATAATTTCGATTTAGAAAGGGTGGATCCCAGGTTTCCTGGAAGTCCTAAATATGTTTGTCAATTATTAGAAATGGAAAATAGTATCAGCTCTATGCCAAGAATTTTTACTAAAGGATTCATTGTGAAACTGCTACATACAAAGTATAATATATATTAATGTTTGTTACAAGTTTCAGATAAAACATGGAAAGTCTTTTAACAAACTTCAATATACATGTTTAATCTAACAGCCAAAAAAATGAATGTGAATTGCTGTTTGCTTAGTGCTAAAATATTACTAGAATCCCATATGGGTGCCAAATGTTGAAGTTAATGAGCTGAATTGAAGGCTTAGCTCTTATAGTCACGGTTCGCCACTGGTAGCTTCACAGTTGGTTTGTTCAGACTCTTATACTTGATGGAAAGCCATGCATTGAAACTCACTTTGATGCTGGTGGGAGCTAATGAAGTTTTGCACTATTGCCCCAAGTCTGTATGAAGCACAAATACAAACACATCCTGAAATACACAACTACTGTATATACTCATGTACACCAGAACATGCACAGGCATTCATGTGCACACACAGATCATCGATCTGTGCCTGTATGGTTTTTAGTTTTCATATTTAGCCCTATAATTCTGTTGTTTCTTATGTTTGAATGCTGGAAAAATCATGATCATTACTTAGGAGTATTTATTTATTTCTGTTTCATAATGTTATGTGTAATTGATCATAAATATGTGAAGAAAGATGCACTGAATGTCCAAAATATATTTGAATGGAATGATACCCTTCACTATCAATGGGCCTCATTCAGCAATATCTTCCTAAGATTTTTTTTACATTTGTACTTGAGAAAGGTCCTAAGAGAAAGTCTACGTCAGATTCATGACGTGTTCTTAAACTGCAGGATTGTTCTCACCTTTGTGCTCTTGAGTGTGTGTAGATTCTGTTCTTACCTTGGAACAAATCCCAGATACACTGGTGAATGTCAGAATCTTAGTAAAAACTGCATAAGTGGGTTTTCAGAAGAAATTTCTTACTAAGAATGGTTGGTGAATGAAGCCTAATGTTTTTTCTTGTTCATAACACAGCATCAGTACAGTACAATAGTAAGGTAAGCACACGAGTAAAGAGCAAAATCAATGATCAGCAATTATAATTTTTTTTTAATACTCTGTTCTTTCATTGTTTAAATAAAACAACAGATGCAGTATTTTGCAATAAACCTTGTTTTTCCCACTTGTATGACTTCATTTAAAAACAACACAGACATGTTAAACATCTAACACTGTTCTCAGCAGTGACAAACATATCTACTGATATGCCACCTCAGTGTTGGTGTCACTGCTGAAAACAGTCAACTAATCAATATATGGTCTGTGGTGGTCCGAGCCCTGGCCATGTAAAGGATTAAATAGTTAACCTTTGTCCTGCAAATCAAATCACAGACATACTTTACCAACAGACATCTCTTTATCTAAGAGAACACGTCTCAAAGGATGGTGTGACATTTTATGTGTATACATGGACTCCTTTTTATTTTTATTTTCTTTTTATTCTTTTCATAACCCTTCCATAAGCTGTTTTCCTTCTATAAACTGCTTTTCTGTAAAGCTGCTGTGAGACAACACTAGTTGTAAAAAGCACTATGCAAACAAATGTTTGTTGTTGTTGTTGTAAAGGGCCCATGGGAAAACTAAGCCTTTTTTAAGAAGAGATTGGTGAATGACGGAATCTTTGCTAAAGCTTTAAAATGCAACAATCCTTCTTCAGTCCATTTATGACAAAGAAAGTTCCAAAACGGCATGTTTGGAAAATGATGTCAGAAAAACAATGCATTTAATAAAAAAAAATCTAGAGCTGTTTAGCCTTGCCCATGTTAGAATTATATGTGATTCAGCCCTGACTGCTTTTTGAATGAGGCGCAGTACAGAGCTGCCTCCCTTACGAAAAAAGTATAATTAAAGTTAATTTTATTAGGTGAACTTAAATAAAGTTCAAGTATATTTCTCAAGTATTCTTTATGTAGGAAGTATACTTATATCAGTGTACTGGTAGTGTACTTGTAAGTGTACTATTTTATTACTATCTGAGGCTTAAATTGGACTATTTTTTAGTTTATGAAAGTATGCTTTTAAGTTTTCAATAAGTGTAAGAGTAGTCAACTTTGAGTACACAACTAGTTTACATATAAGTTTTATTTTGCACTGCATCTATAGTGTGAATACACTAAAAGTGAACCTACAGGTGTACTGAACTTATAAGGAAAGTGCCAGTTTAATAGTTTATATATTGCAAGTATACTTGTACATTTTCTTTAAATGAACAATGTAGAACTTGCTATATGTATACTACTAGGTTTCTATTTAAGTATTATTTTTATACTTGAAATATACCTTTAACAGTACTTTAAGTAGACTTGAAGTTAACTAATGTAAACACTCATAAAAATTCATGTAAAAATTCATTCATTCAAAAAGACATGCTCAGGATAAGAAACACATTTATTTTCTTTATAAATAAAAATTTTCAAATATTGTATTTGATGCCAAAATATAAGAACACAACAACTCAAATCAACATTCCAGATCAAAACAAAATCCAACATACAAACACAGTCTTTAGAGAAGTTTGATATTAGAATTTGTGGGCATGCAACCTCTCAGAAATCAGTCCCTGGCTGCCCACAAACAGGTTGTACTTCTCTACGATTCACATTATAGATCAGTTCCACAAATGTACTATTTACTCTAAACTATTCCACCCCAAACAAGCCAAGTATACTTAAACTTTATGTATAAGGCAAGCATATGTACTTATACTTAAGTATATCTTAAACAAAAGATAAAGTATAAAAAGAAAAATTCAAGAAAATAAATATGTTCCTTTTAGGAACAGAACAGGCCTGATTCACCTCCACAGGTACTTACAAAGCACTACTGAACTACTCTCACAGATGTGCAGTGTGTTCTGTCTTATTGTGCTGAAATGTACAGCACATCAGCAGGGCTGTGTTAAAGCTCTGTATTTGAAATGCACTTCATTCAAATGTTGCTGAATTTCTACTGACAGTCAGAGCTCACATTGTTTGTTTGGCACACTGAAATGACACACTGCCCTCTACTGTTGCTTTGCCACAATTAGTGATCTACTGCGGACCACCTCCACACGAGCCATTACCTTGACCTGATAAAATTAATGCAGAGTTCAAAACCGGGCCACAAAATTAATTATTTTCCTGCTTGATGTTGGATGCCCATATTTTTTTTCCAGGGTGATTTTCAAAGAAGCCTCCAGACACTGCACCCTCTGGGTTTTCCTTTTAAAGCTCAAGGAGTACTTTACTAATTGGCAGGATGGAATGTAGTCCACATCAATTACTGTGTGTGTTATAAGACCGTCCAACTGCTCCTCTCAGCCACTCCTGCATCTCTCCTGCTGCTACACGAATCCACCACAAACTAGGCTGCTTAATCCTTCATACTACTGATTTTAGCATAGCATGCCAAGGTTTGTCTATTTGATTATACTTCTCTCTCTCTCTCTCTCTCTCTCTCTCTCTCTCTCTCTCTCTCTATATATATATATATATATATTATTTCCACATGAATCCTATCCTACACAATTTTGCCCTTCTTTTATCTCTTTTTATCTTATTCTGTACACTTTCGAATTGAGTAAATTGTAAATTCAGTGGATTACTTTTTCAGTGTAGGTCTAAATACACAATAAAAACATGAAGCAGCCAATCAGAACAGAGGTCATTTACAAATATCTTAAAGTATACAGTCCAAAAAAAACTAGACTTCAGGCTTCAGGAGAAAAATGATTTCACTTACTCAAAATAAAACAAATAAAACAGTAAGGGAGAAGTAAAAGTAGTTGCTTATCATTGCTATTGTGAAAACACTTTATATCGCTTCTTTTGTTGTATTCATTTATTTGTTTATTTGTTTGTTTGGGTGGTTTGAAAATGCCAGCTGCCCTTGGCATTGTATAAAACTTTTATATCTGAATGACCAAAAGAAATGGTGCAAAATTATGAGATATCTTGTTACATCAACTTTTGTAAATTTAAAAAGAAATTTTGTCCTTTGTGGTATTAAAACATTAAAATACGCAATGACAAAGAGGGAAAAGGAGCCAACCTACAGGCAGATTAAGCATAGGAAGTTAATAGCTGTGTATGTATTAGTCTCTCTGTGATCATCAGTCTGGATTTAGTTTAGCTTCAATCTCGTCTTACTCCACCTTTATTAGATTATTGAGCTGTATTACAGTGGTTTGAAACTTTTGAAACTATTTGAAACTTGACCTTTTATTTTATTTGACTTGATAAGTATTGTTTATTTGCTGAGTTTCACATATTAGAAAAAAATATTCAATGTGTTAAACTCACCAAATAGACAGTAACTGTGAATTTAAGCGTGCAGGTGTGCTCTCTGTAGAGGACGTGTGAACTTATTTTTACCAAAACATTTGACCAGGGGTGCCCAAACATATCACTATATGTGCTGAACTACATTTAAGGTTTTATGTTCTCTTGAATTTGCACTTCATTTGTGTAACAGGAACTGCATAACATGTTCAACTGGAAGTCGCATTCACTCACATTCACTGCTAATTTAGAAAATAACAGATTTTTCCATTTAGTTTAGTTATGCATAAACAGAGGACAAATATACACATATATATACTGATGGTCTACTGCCATCTTGTGGGCAATGTTGAACATTACTACATCAAAAGGAAAAATAACAATAGAAAAAAGTTGATAAAAAATAGAAGTGGTAGCAAAAATGTGTACATTCTGCAAATTTGATTATAAACAGTTACTCCATAGCAAAGAAATAAATATGTATACCTCACATGCCACCATCTTTGGTCCAGGTTGACATGAAGCGTAAATTCTTGTTTCACAGTTCATGAGTAAATAGTGCAGAATTCTCCAGGCATCATCTGTACCACTTCACTTAAGGCAATGTCTTCACGCACTCTGAAAAAAGACTTCTAGCAAATACTGAGAAGCTCTTAAAGAGTTTATCATCAGCCATTGCTGGTTTTGCATTTGAAGTGGTTCTTGAAGTAAAACAGAGTGTTTTGGATGTTGGAGGCCGCCTGATAGCGGAACTTGGAATATGCTTCATCAGTCTTTGACTGTCCCCACGGCAACATTGCTTTGATCTTCGATGCATGATTAACTATGACATCATCACAAGAACCCACATGGAGAGAGCCGAGGCCATCGATGAAAAATTCTACACAGGGAGGAGAAATTACAGTCAGAAATGTGATGAATGAACCTTTTTAAAAGCAAAACATCATCAGCTGCAGTCCTAGAAGGTCAGAGTCCAAGTGAGTTCCATGCTTAAAGTGCACCTACTCTACCTAACTTAGCTATGTTTACATTACAGAGCTGAGGAGGCGCCAAACATGTTGTGCTTCAACAACAGAGCTATGTGAATCTTTACAAATCAAGTTTGAACCACTTTAACATGTGGTCCTAGACTGGATACAGAGCCAAATCATGACTATAGCTCAGATCAAAATTCCCCAGAAGAAATACAGACAGGAGACAAATTCAATGCAGAGAAAAGTAACGAGTGTAGATGCTTCCAGACAGGTGCACTGCAAGATACAATTAAGCCAGCAACATTCTGCCACTCTGCAGAAGGGGTGTCAAACTCCACCACTAAATGTGGGACAGCTGTGTTTTTATTTTATTTTTACTTAAAATTTTGCCTTGACCCCAACTGACTATTGTTTATTTAAAATATGCCAACAAGTACAACAGCAAACTAGAAAGGAAAAGTTTGTCAACAAACTAAGTTGGCTTGAAAAAGGCAGCTAATTGCGTTAAAACGTTAAAATGGTGGAAGACTGCTGATGGTTGCTAAAACGTTGCTAGGCAGTTACTACGGTATCCAAGGTGGATAGTAATGTGTTGCTAGGTGCTACGTTAAACTGCTACCTTAAATCCACTGCCACCTTAAATTCAGTGCCACCTTAAATGTAATCATAACTTAAATTCACTGCCACCTCAAAGTTACTGATTCCTGAAAATTTACTGCCACCTTAAATTTAGTGCTACCTTAAATGCAGTTCCACCTTAAATTCAACTATTACCTTAAATTCACTGCCTCTTAAATTCAGGGCTGCCTTAAATGCAAGTCTAACTTAAATGCAGTGTCACCTTAAATTCTCTGCCACCTTACATTTACTGATACGTTAAATTTACTGCCACCTTATTTTCAGTGCCACCTTAAATGCAATTCCACTTTAAATTCAGTGCTACCTTAAATGCAGTGCCACCTTAAAGTCACTGCCACCCTAAATTTGCTGATACATTAATTAGCTGCAGATAATTGTTTTAAATGTCCCCAATGTACAGTATGTTTTTTAAAACTGCCCATTCACTTGAACTAGACACCTGACATCTCTTTTTTGTTGCTGTCCTATACATTGTTGTTGGGGAGGGGGTGGGAGCACACACCGGGAACTGTAGTGCAGCTCACTGTGAAATGGGCTACTACTAATAAAAAATTAAAATAAATTTGCAGGCTGAATAGGACTGTGCCACAGGCCTGACTTGGCCTGAAGGCCTTGCCTTTGACACATGGGCTCTGCAGCAACTAGTGCATTAGTGTAAGGAAAAACAGCAGCTGTTCCTCAGGTGTCTGAAAATGTCAATGCAGGACATGAACAGACTGTATCAACAATAACAGTCCCTCCACAGCTACATAGAGAGGGATATTATAGTAGGTCTGCAGTGCATAAACCCTTCATTACAAAGACGACTGCGCATTTAAAAGTTCAGTGGTGTTAAAACATCAGCACTGGTCTACAGACATGCAGAAAAAAGTGAATTGGTCAGATGAGTCATCCTTCCATATTATGTTTCACAAGCAGGCGAGTGCACGTGCAACGAACACCAAGAGAGAACAGAATAGACCTGAATGCTGTCCGATGGCTCTGTTATGTGGTGAGGAGGATTTAGCAGGCTTTGTTTGGGTCCATCTTCCCCTTTAGAGGGCAAGGTCACTACAAATCTTGGCCCTCATCCACAGGGGTCACTGAACGGTTTGATGAGAATCAGTGATCAGTGTATAGCAGAAGCTATGGCCTTCACAGTCACCTCAACCCAGCTGATTATCCTATGGGAAAACACCAGCTGAGGGACTATCTTGCAAAAATAGTGTTCCAGTCCTCCAGTAGTTCCACAGAATCTAGTAAAACTGCTCAGGTGGCTCGTAGTGGCCCAAAGTCTTACTAAGACACTTTATGGATTTTCCTTTAATTTGTCATCCGTCTGTATTTTAATAACTTCTTTTTTCTACTCTTACTTGTAATCATCGTGAGAATTTATCAAATTTCTTCTGTTTATGGAATGTGGCTCCTGAGAAACAACACTTCATTAAAATATTGTCTCATGGCTAAACTTTTGTGTCTGACTCATCTCACCCCAGTCCAATCTTAATATTTGGATAAAGCAGGATTTTTTATTTTCTGACAGTACCACCCATAATTTATTTCATTTCCAGTCAAAATTACATTTTTCAATAGCTCCAAATTTCACTCTTAGACGTTGTTTGCTTTTTCTGTTTCTAACGATCCTAGTTCACATTTAAAGATGTTGACTCTGGGGGGGAAAGTCCATTGTTCTGAACAAATGATCTGTTTTGCTGTGTGTGGTGCCATGCGTGTGTTTGCTGTAAAAGCTGTACCCGGGACATTCTGTTCATTTTATTTCTGTCTGTCTCAATATGGTCACTTCTGTCACACTTATGCTTTGTTGCTTCTATTGTTGGCAACTGACTAAAGTGCCTGAGCCTATATAACCACCACTAGGTCAAGGGATCCTTGGGTCAGTTTGTCTGTGAAACTGAACGCAGAAGGAAAAAAAAAGATTTTCCAGACACAAGGCCGACACACCAGGAATTTGATTTACTTTTTTTTTTTTTTGTCTATTTCTTTCTTGACTACTGAGCTGTGTTCTCACAGTGGAAGAATGAACAGAAACACCTGTGAATTTTTCAGATCTGAATCCAGAGTGGAGCTTGATTTTCTCCTCTTTCTCAAAGATAAAAGTTTTAAGTGCTGTTTATCTGATGGGGACAGTTTTCGTGGTCTACCAGCTCTTGCATGGTTGTTAGGAGTCCACTTTCACTTAAACTTTTAAACATTTTTTAACTCCTGTTTTTTCACTTATTTTTGACTTTTGCCTTCTTATTGCAAGTGTATCATCTTCTATGTAACTTCCTTAGGAATATCTCCTTACAAATGATGCCTGTTTTGACTGTAAAGTAAATAAAAGGGTGGTCTCTGACTTCCGCACATTATATTTTTTGGGGTATTTTTTAACACATACATATAACCGTGCTTGCTCAGATTACTCATCATTCAGTGTCGTTATTTTCAAAAAGTATGTGTATGCGAGTTCTTTCTGAGCACAGTCCTGCTCACACTAATGATAGTGTTCTATAAGTGTATTAAGTGTAATTTATTAAGGTACTGTTCTAAACCCACAATTTCACACTAAATCCTCAACATACACGGTTTCACTGATATTGTAAGGAAAAAAAGCAGAGCTACATTGAGGCACTTTATTTTACAATAAACCACTCACCTAGGTGGGCAGCCCGTGCCAGGCGAGGGTCAAAACCCACTTGACGCAGCTTGTCAGTTCGAGCCATAAAGAAATTTATGACCGCATCTGTGACCACACAATTAGGGAATCCCTCAATGATGTGATAGAAGCCCCTCCTTATGTGTAAACAATCGCCCTCTTCTCCACCTTCATCTGTTGAGATGGTGTGCCGATAGGTGGCAGTGTAGCCGGTTACCTCCCGCACTGCCCCTCCTACCTGCACACACAAACACATACACACACAGATCCGGTCATAAAGGTCAGCTGAAGGATGTATTTACTAAGCAAATGTTCTGAAATGGGGTGGAATGTTTTCACTCCATTTACAGGTGGTTCAGCGTTGCTCTTCAAGCTGTGTTGGTTGGTAGGGTGTGTCAGAAGTGTCAGTGGCACCAAGAGATTGTTTGATGTTTCCCAGCTTTTATCAATGGTAAATGATAAGACAATAAATTGCTTTGTTTCTGTAAGTGACAATTCTACATATATTGTGACTTCATTGTAAAAGAATTACATATTAAACCTATAAAATCTCAGACTTTTTACATCCTATATGTAAACTGAATACTATTTATTTTATAGGAGTGAACTGAAGCCTGGAACCACTTACACATTCTGGCCAGTTAAAGGGGAAGTCTACTGATTTTGCAAAATTACTTCATTAAATGGTTCAGATGTAAACAAAATCATTCAGAGTGGTTTGGTGTAGAAATGTGCCTTTCTAGAGAAATTGACCAAGTCAGAACACTACACTACAAATTCACCATTTTATCTGCTATCCAAAATGACCAGAGCTCACATGTGTCATAGGTCACGCTGATAATGGTAAAATCCTACTAAATTAAAAAAAAAAAAAAAACCATTTTCTTTGGGTACTATTTTTGCCTTACAGCGCCCTGCATGTATCTCACCGTCCCGCTGTTTTTCTTTCAGTTGCCATTCCAAGAAACTGGAATCAAGTTAAGAAACATTTGTGAGTGAAATAAATGAGTCATTGTTAGCCAACATGCATATATCACTGTTAGCTGTTACCTTACAGACTGTCTAACATAGGCCACCAAATAAAATAACTATCTATTTCGCTGTCTTACCCAACAACAAAAGCATGTTAGCTTGTGCACATTGATCTCAGTTGAGAATGCGGTTTTGAGAGGAAACACTGAAGTAATCCTGGAGTAATACTTCATACCAAAAATCTGTTTTATGCCAAAACTTCATAACAAAAACTATCACAAAACAATGTCTCGGGTATCAAGCAGTGCATTCATAACCAGTTTGTGTAATAACTTAATGGGATGTAGCTTTTCGAGCCATTAAATGCTTCGGACATCTGGTTTCTAGTACTATAATGGTGAACCATTCTGAAAGGCGCATTTCCCACCGAACTACTCTGAATGACTTTGTTTACATCTAAACCATTGATTGAGGAATTTTGCAAAATCTTTGGACTTTAAGATGACAAGTGATTACTAGTCTGCATTAGAATATCACAAAACCTAAACCAAACCATTCATTTCAATTCACAAAACACATTAAATAAATAATAAAAACCACTTTTGCATAACACTGTGCAGAACAATTCTATAGTGTCCAGGAAAACAGTTTTTCAGTTATATTACAGTTTGTTACAGTCAATTCCATCTGAATGCAGAACAAGCTTTCAAACAATGTCAACAATTATAAAAGAGATGCATTAAGGACTTGAGCTCATGTGGCAAACTGAAAAACCAATTCTGGACTGAAACTGAAAAACAAACACAAAAGTAGGCATGTGTGACTTTTTACTCAGTTCTAGTTCCAAAGTTGAATTGAAACTGACAACAAAGAAGCCTCAGATACAGGGCAAAATAGCATCTATGTATATCTATCTATGACCTGAACCAACAAGGTAAGTGTCTTTTAGATAAACAGACAAACGCTAATTGTCTGTTTCTAGTTAATGTTACTAGCCTAGTCTTTCTTTTAGAGTTAATAGATGTAGTAATCTGATGCCAAACGTGATAAATTATTGAACAGTGTTAACGTCAGTATCCCCGCAGTGCTGAGAATAAGCCACCATGATCAGTGGTGGTCCTGTTGGAGTCCTGACCATTAGTGAACATATATTCCATCTTTAACCCCTTAAAAAGCAAGGGCCCAACCAGTCTGCATTGAAGTCCCTATAGTTACTGAATAATAAGTCTTAGTATGTAACAAGCCTGAAATTTTAAGGAGTTAAAAAGGAGTTATTGATGCTTATTTACTAAACAATTCAAAATCAGCTCATAGTGTCAAAAGTGTTTCTCAATCCTGGTCTTGGAGGCCCACTGCACTTGTTTTGTGTATTCCCAACACTCCTGATCTAACTACTCAGCTCATTAACAGCTCATTATTAAGGTGGCTGAGTCAAAGCAAGAAAAGCATTCAAATGTGCAGGGGGCCTTCAGGACCAGGGTTGAGAAACACTGTGTTAAGACATACTCTAAAAAAGAATGACTTCGTTACAAACACTGAACTTCTTGCTAAAGCCTTAGTAGACTAAAATCAGAGATATTAATCTCAGTGTTACAGACCTCTGCTAAAGCCTGAGTAGACCGATAAATCAATATGATTTATAAATCAATAGTTATTCATCTCTAATTACTAAACTCCTTTGAGGGATGATTGAACTGAACAATCTCCTCAGCAGTGAACATGGTTATTCGCAAGTGGTAAACTTGCTATATATATGCCAATGACTGAGAATCACACAGCTTTATTGTTATATTTGCGAGATTTTGTCATTGGCAAATGACGTTTGCTTAGTTTTGAAACAGCACTGGGATTATGGGAACAGCTGCGAACTGAAGGTGATGAGAACCAAAATAAATGTTGAGAATTGTTTATTTAAATAAGTGAATTTTTCATGAAACAAACTGCCAACCAGTAACAGTGAAGAACAGTGGGAATTAAAAAATACAAAAGCAGAGCTTTTCCCACAGACCTTATCCATATGTATTCTAAATATATTCTGAATTTATTGCTTTTTTATTAATTGTAATGGAACACATTACTGAACATGTTTAGGACAGTGTATTCAGTATTCAGCGATCGCTACTTACACGGAGCGTATGAAAATAAGCTTACACAGCATGTAAGCAAATTAGGAACAAATTCCAGTCACGACAAACCTGTTCTAGAAGAGCATGCACTACAGTGGCTTATCAGCAGAAGAAAATTTGCAAATCAAACAAAGAAGCTACGGATGTTCTTGGAACTTTGGACTTTGGAGGCCAGATGTCAGCATAATTGAATGTGCCTGGGGTTACACACACACACTAACACACAAAAAAAAACCCCCACTAGCGTTCTGCTGCTGGCTGGCACCTGATACTCTGGAGGTGTGACTAGGCCTATAACCACAACGGCTCATGGTAGCGCACACTCTACAACAGAGGGACTTGCTTGTGTTTAGCATTGTTAGTAATTAGTGTTTAAGTTGTGTGTATGTGTTTATTGTGTTATGTGAGAAGGTGCGGGATTAGTTAAGGGTTTCGTGTGTGAGGGAGGTCACTGTTGGGGTAAAGCCAGTGGCACATATATTTATATGTGTGTGCACACACATACACACACATATATGCACACACTATATGAACAAAAGTATTGGGACACACCTCTTAAGCACTGAATTCAGGTGCTTCATTCAGTCCCACTGCCACAGAAACCAAGCACAATTCTGTGGAGTGATGCCTCTCTATCTCTCTAACTGATGGACAAATATGGGATGGAGGAGGGATAATGCTATGGGGTTGTTTTTCAGGGGTTGGCCTAGGCCCCTTAGTTCCAGTGAAGGCAAATCTTCATGCTTTAGCCTGCCAAGATATTTTGGACAATTGTGTGATCCCAGCTTTGTGGGAAGAGTTTGGGGAAGACCCTTTTCTGTTTCAGCATTACTGCATCCCAGTGGTCCATAAAGGCATGGCTGGGTGAGTTTGGTGTGGAAGAACTTGACTGGCCCACACAGAGCCCTGATCTCAACCCCATCGAACACCTTTGGGATGAACTAGGAAATTTACACAAAATATGGAAGAAAGTATTGGGACACCAACACATCACAACTACAGGAACTTTTGACATCTCTTTCTAAAGTAAAGAATCCTCCATTCACGCACACAACAGTGCACAATAAACCGAATTAACTCTACTGTTATGTTATACATTACTGAACTACAGCTTGAGTGTGTGCTGTGCTGGAAGCAGTCTGTCACCTGTATTGGAATGACCAGGAAAGCGCCACTGAAACTTCAGAAGACACACACACACACACACACACTTGGGTGTAATGGTACGTGTATTTATACCAAAAAGTCACAGTACAGATGTTATGAGCAAATGATTTGGTCTATAGAGGATTCAGGACTACAGCAATGTCATAACTCCTGACCCCTGATCAGCTGTGAGGCTGAATTTTTGGTGTTTGAACAGTAAGTGAGAGCCAAAGAAGCCAGCTATTTAGGAAAATAATAGGAGATTGGAAATTGAATGAATGAAACGAGACTTTTCCCTATCCAGAGATTGCAATATTTTTCTATACATAGCCTTACAAATTTTTCTGTTTTTTCTCTGCTCCAAAGTAAAAATCACAGCTTAAGCTGAACTTTCACCACACATTAGTTACCGTAGTGACTTTACCCATCAAATGCAAATGACCCATACTACAGGCTGTAACAGCTTCTTCAGTGGGGACCATACGACACTAGATGGAACAAACTGTAACTTGCAGTACTATTTGTTCAAAATAAACAAAAAGAAACCTAGCCTTATGTGTTTGGGGGGTGTTGTCTCTTTTTTCCTGTTGACATGTACTTGTACTGAACCATGATGTCCAAACTGCGACGTGAACTGAACCGTGGCTAGTGTGTACCGTTAAATCCCTTATTTTTTTAAACAACACACACACACACACACACACACACACACACACATATATATATATACATAAACACACACACACTTGGGGTCAGCATGTCAGTGAGTCTCACCAAGTCTAAGGTGGTTCTCTCTAAAACCTCCACCATCTTCTCCAGCCGTGTGTTGGAGCTGAAGATGAAGTCGTCGTCCACCCACAGCACGTACTTTGTGGTCACCTGAGAGATGGCAAGATTACGTCCAGCAAACCAGCCCTGCAATGAGACAAATTACAGCACAGTTGCCAAATCGACTGTAAATCAATAATGAGCAAATCATGGCCAGGGTTGTTCATCGCATTCGAGGGGCAAAAGCTACATAGACCGTTTCGCTGGGTGGAAGGCAAATCACAGTGCAAATGTATTTATGCTGTGTGACCTCTCAACCCATTACCCATTGTTATGGCTATCTTAAGTGTCGTAGCTCAAGTTTCAAAGGGTGACTCTGAAGAATGTTGTTTGTGTGGGTTTTTTTTCTTTAACTATACCACAAATAAATGGTATTGGCTATGCCTAATCTAGGCTAAAGTTGGTAGAATCTATTCTTGCACCTACTTTAAATCGCAGAGTAATAATAAATGCTTTGTACAAAAAATAATATGTTATTCACAGCCGCTCTAAAACTGAAAACACAATCCTTAAATGTGCCAAAGATTTATCAGGAATTATTATAGTGCACCAGGGGGCCTGAAGAGTGACATTTCATTGCAGTGTCACCAGTGGGGCGGGTGGGGGGTGAGGGGTGCTGGAGTGGAAGGCAAGAAACACCCTGGACAGGTCGCCAGTCCATTGCATGGCAGTCACACAGACGTATACAATCACACACACACATTCACACCTAGGGGCAATTTAGTGTGTCCTATTGGCCTTACCGCATGTCTTTGGATTGTAGAAGGAAACCAGAGCACCCAGAGGAAACCCACATAGACATAGGGAGAACGTTCATTCCAATGTTTACAAGTTAATTTGAAGAATGAGAATAAAGACTGCTTCAACTTGATTACTATGACTTATGAATTATTCAGTAATTACTATGACTTGTTCAAAAACTACATTGAATTAATTCAGTAACTGAGTTATCCAGTAAATACTACAAATAATTTAGTAACTACTATAAGTTATTGCTATGAAACAAATGTGCTTTAAAAGTTCTTTAGTTATGAGAGTGGTTGAAATTAAGCACGATACCAGGTCTTATAGAGTGGACCCATTTTTTCCCCCTCATGTTTACTTACATTTTCTTTCGTCAGTCAGTTCAACTGGGAAAGGTGGCAGAACAATCTTACTTGAGGTTGGCAAGACCTCCACAAGCACAGTACTAATACCTTTGCCTTCTTCTTCAAGATCTAAATGAATGCCTGCAGATAACATCACATGAATAATACATGCCCATTTCCAAAAAGTTGGGACACTGTGCAGAATGTAAATAAAAATAGGATGCAATGATATGCAAATCATCATCATCATCATCATCGTCGTCGTTAACCGCTTAGTCCAGATAGGGTCGCGGTAGCAGTTGGGAGAGCAGAGAATCCCAGACGACCCTGTCCCCCGCAACTTCCTCCAGCTCATTCCCGGGGACCCCAAGCCACTCCCAGGCCAACCTGGAGATATAATCCCTCCAGCGCGTCCTAGGACGACCCCGGGGTCTTGTCCTGGTAGGCCATCCTGGTACACCCCCACCGGGAGGCGTCCAGGGGGCATCCGGATCAGATGCCCGAACCACCTCAGCTGGCTCCTCTCAATGCGGAGGAGTAGCGGCTCTACTCCGAGCTCCTCCCGGATGGCCGAGCTCCTCACCCTATCCAATAGAGTGTAGCCCGCCACCCTGCGAAGACAGCTCATTTCCACCGCTTGTATTCGTGACCTCATTATTTCGGTCATTACCCATAGCTCATGACCATAGGTGAGGGTCGGGATGTAGACCAACCGGTAAACAGAGAGCTTCACCTTACGGCTCAGCTCCCTCTTCACCACTACAGTCCGGTACAGCGGCCGCATTACTGCTGCCGCCTGTCCCAGCCTGCGGTCAATCTCACGATCCCTCTTCCCATCACTCGTGAACAAGACCCCAAGATACTTAAACTCCTCCACCTGGGGCAAGTCCTTCCCCCCTACCTGGAGTGGGCATGCCATCCTTTTCCAGGCTATATGCAAATCAAGTAAACCATATTTTTAAAGGAAAATACTACAAAGACAACACATCAGATGTTAAAACTGAGAAATTTGATTGTTTTTTGAAAAATATATGCCCATTTTGAATTTAATGTCAACAACACTTTCCAAAAAAGTTGGGACGGGGGCATGTTTACCACTGTGTTTCATCACTTCTACTTTTAACTACACTCTGTAAGCGTTTAGGAACTGAGGAGACCGACCGCTGTAGATTTAAAAGTGAAATGTTTTCCCGTTCTTTTTGATATATGATTTTAGTTGCTCAACAGTTCGGGGTCTCCTTTGTCGTATTTTCCATTTCATAATGCACCAAATGTTCTCAGTAGGTGACAGATCTGGTTTAGCACCTGGACTCTTTTAATATGGAGCTATGCTGTTGTAATACAGAATGCAGAATGTGGTTTGACATTGTCTTGCTGAAATAATTAAGGCCTTCCCTGAAAAAGACGTGTCTGGATGGCAGCACAGGTTACCAAAACCTATATTTATTGTTCAGCATTAATAGTGCCTTCACAGATGTGCCAGTCACCCATGCCATGTGCACTAATGCCCCACACTGTCTTTTGAACTGTGCACTGATAACAAGCTGAGTGGTCTTTAACCCGGAAGTCACAGTGTCCATGATTTCCAAAAAGAATTTCACATGTTGACTTGTCGGACCACAGAACACTTTTCCACTTCACCTCAGTGCATTTTTGATCGCGAGCCCAGAGAAGGTGGCTGCATTCCTGGATCCTGTTTATATTTGGTTTCTTCTTTGTGTTTTAGAGTTTTAACTTGCATTTGTGGATGCAGTGACAAACTGTGTTCACAGACAGTGGTTTTCAGAAGTGTTCCTGAGCCCATGCAGTGATTTTACTACAGAATCATGTCTGTTTTTAATGCAGTGCCGCCTGAGGGCCCAAAGATCATGGCCAGCAAATACTGGTTTTTGGCCTTTTCCCTTGCATACAGAGATTTCTCCAGAATCTTTTAATGACATTTTGTACTGTAGATGATGAAAAGCAAAAGTTTTTGTTTTTGCTATTTTATGTTGAGAAACTTTATTCTTGAATTGTTGCATTATTTGCTTGTGCAGTATTTTACACAGTGGTGAACCCCTCCTCATCTTTACTTCTGACAGATTCAGTCTCTCTGCTCATTTTATACCCAGTCATGTTACTGACCTGTTGCCAATTAACCACCAGGTGTGCATTACACAACTTCACCAGCATTTTGTTGCCCCCCGTCGCAACCTTTTTGGAACATTTAGTTGGCATCAAATTCAAAATAATTTTCGGAAAACAATTCAATTTCTCAGTTTCAACATTTGAAATGTTAACTTTTTCAATGAAACAAGAAGTGGCTGAAACAAGAAGTAGGCACTACCTATACTCTGATGAAAGATCATTATAGACAGTTTATCTTATGAGAGTTGAAGAAGCTTCTACAGAAGAGAGAAGTCACTGCAGCCACTGTTTAAAGTGAAGGCAGAAGTAGAAATGAAACTGCAGCATGTAAGGCGGTGGCCTTCCTCTTTCCTGAATTTATGAAACAACTTAAGCAATTTTGCACAAGGCATATGAACAGATGTTTACACGTGACACGATTATCTTTTCCAAGCTGCAGTCTGTAAGCACTGCTGCCCGTTGATGTTCATCAAACATAATAAATGACTGTATTTCACTCAATTTTTTTTATTTGCTGACATCAAACTTAGAGAGGAGAGAACGCAAAATAAATATGAATGTTAGAATTCACTCTTTATTCAGACTTTCTAGGAGTGCCTATAATTATGGTACATATAGATTTAAGAAAAATATTCTTTCAATTATTACACTTCAAATTAAGGTCACATTGTTGCTAAAATATTGAAAGCATAAGAAATTAGGAATATTTTTAACAGCTCATTTTGCTCATGATTATCAGGGATGCCAATATTTGTGGAGGGCACAGTATGTGCCTTCTAGATAAATGTGTGTCTTACATTTCCATACCACAACTCCGACCAAATGAGCTAAAACACTTCTTTGGTTTTACAAAACTAAATGAACCAACATCCAACAGAAACATAAGTTACTATTACAGAGCGCAACAGTGTTGTTCTGCTGTGCAATAGGGAGTTGCTGTTAATTTGCATAAGCAAACCGACACGATGTCGGTAAAATGATTTGCATTTGTGTAACTATATCAATTGATCCGTCTGGCATTGTCTGATTCTATGATCATGCATTGCATTGTAGATTATGTTACATGCAAATGGCATGACTACACTAATTGAAAGAGGGCATCCTCAGGGACAACTTCTGGTCACTCACTTGGGTTAGAGAGTGCAATCCAATATCATATCAGTATACTAACAGCAGATCTCTCCAATCCATTTACATACATAGCTGAAGGCAAAAGTTTGTACACTTTTGGTCAAATTATTGCATTGATTTTCTAAATGTATCAATAAGTGTAAAATAAGTACACATCCTTTACAGTAGGGGTGGCCAATCTTATTCACAAAGGGCCGATATGGCTGTATGTTTTTATTCCAGCAGTGCAGGAGAACATATGATCAACTGTTTAAAAGACAGAGACCAACAGATTAAACAAGCAAAATGAGGTGCGCTCCAGCTTGTTTGAAATGAAAACCCCCCGGCTCTACAGGGAACAAACTCAAATATGGCATATTTAATATGGCTTAACATATTGAAAAATCCATACATATAAAGGTCAAACTTTGCACAGACCTCTTTTTATGTTTTTTTCTGATATGTTAAATTCAGCAAATAAACAGCAATTATGCATTAAAATGTGTAGATGTGTGTGTATGTGTGTGTGTGTGTGAGAGGATGTGTTTTTTTTTCTTCACTTACAAAATCAACAAGATGTAATTAGACCAGGGGTCAGCAACCCAAATGTTAAGAAGAGCCATTTTGTCATTTCAACAACAGTGGAAGTAGAATAGTTTCTTGTAAAATGTCTCTCAACGTTTGATTTTTTACGAGGCTGAAGTCAGCTCCTCATTCACCAGCTCCTTATTTGAATTTTCCCGTTCCATCTTAAATGGTGCCTGAGGCGCCAGAATGTAACTGCTGCACCATTTAAGGTGGAACAGGAGAATTCAAACAAGAAGTTGGTATAAAAAGAAGCTGTTTTCAGCTTTACATTTTAGTGTTTGACAATTTCGCATTGCAGATTAAACGCATCAGTAAACCAGCTGGAGTGCTTATGAATGCGAATAAGTCTATTAGTTTTCGATGTTGTTCTTCCCATTAGCTAATAGCTAGGCAAGATTGTCTGCATTGCTGTGGTGACCAGCAGTCTGCATGCCAACCTTCAGGGTTAAAGTGTGAACTAGCAGTTATAAATCAACTCTAGCAGAGCTTTATTTTACTGCAAAGGAGGATTATTTTATCTTTACCTAAAAATCTAATTTGGCTGTGGAGCCGCAACAGGGCAGTAAAAGAGCTGCATGCGGCTCCAGAGACCTATTTTGCTGACTCCTGACTTACACCATAAACTTTTGCACACAACTGTATTCACCTATTCAATCCACAGAAGTTTAGCTCTGTCCAGTGTTTCAGCATGGATGGTCTTATTGAATAAGGCTCAAGATAGGGCAGCCAGTCAGAGAATCCATTTACATATATCAGTCTGAAAGGCACAGTAACAAAAACAGACGATTTAATTGTGAGGGATAAGGAAAGGCTGAAAAATGGTCATGTGAAAAACAAATCATGACTGTTTTTGGTATATAAACCCACACAAATGTCACAAAAGAACCTTATGGGGGAAAAATTGAACACAATGTGATATGAGCTACTTTATACTAGAGTCCACCTCTGGAAGTTTTTACAAGTCTTTGTGTATCCCCACTGCAAGGGCCAAGTGTGACATTTACATTTAATTTAATCTTAATTCTACTTTTACTCATGGCCTGTATGCATGAGGGATGAGTGTGCAAGATAAATTATAACATCCATCAGAGGCCTTCTTAAAAAGTAGCTTTTCCACTTTACTTTAGTGACTTCAACTTATTGCAATATATGTATTTCATAAATACACTTTTTTTCAGATTTATACTGCTTAGTTCTTTTGGCTGTATATACTACAGGGAGATTCACTCGAAAGAGGCCCCGAAATTTTTTTTAGTATTATTTGCATAAAACGCTGTGTTGGAGAGGAGGGAGCTGTACTTGCAACACTCCTTCATGTCTCGCCTTCAGGAGAAACGTTCGTTTATTATCTGCCGGCGTTTGTGTGAATGTTCTTTATTTAACTGTCCTTAAAGTACGCTGCAGTGATTAGCACTAAGCCATTAGCATGCTGTTTATATATTTGTAAATAAGCGGATGATACCGTGACGTTACTGTGCTGCATTTGATCTGTGGCAGGTGTTGAACATTTTATGTGATTTTCATTTTACAGCTACAGACTGCGGGATAAAAAGGGAAAGGCCAGAGGAAAATAACTGGAAACAGAACTTGAGATAATCCACTGGCATAAAGAAGGGAAAGGCCAGAGAAAAATAACTGGAAACAGAACCTAAAGGGGTTTTTTTTTGAATGAGAGGAGAAAATAAAGCTCCACTCTTGCTTTAGATTTGAAAAAAATCTGTTTGTCCATCCTTCCACTGTGAGAAGAAAACACTGAGTGCGTTAACATGCACTCAATAATCTGATAACTGCAGAAAATCAGATTTTGTCAGTAATCCGATCAACACGTTTACATGCACTTGAGTAATCAGATAATAGGAAACTCTGGGTCTACATGAGTCAGGCAATAATCGGATTTCTGCTTTGCAACCAGGCAATAAACTCACAGAAGAAGACATGATGTAAACATAATGTAAAGCTCAAACTTCATACCATGACTTTACCTGAAAACATCGCGGCACTTTACCTGAAAATATGAAGATGAAGAATTATTTTGTGTTTGGTTTCAGCGCCGGACCGACAGTGTTTTGTCGGCAGTGTTTTAGAAATTGGAGTACAAGTTTACATGCGCTGAGAAATCTGATTACTGAGCTAAAATCCAGCTCTCTTTATCGGATTTCTTAATCAGATTTCTAGATTGGAGTATGGTGTTTACATGATTATTTGAATAATCAAATAACTGCAGAAATCCGATTATAATTAAATTATTGAGTGCATTTATACGCACTCACTGTGGGAAAGGATGTGCAGCTGTCTAGAAGGCCCTACTGAGAAAAAGAAATAGACAAAAAAGAAAATTTTCACCAGAACTTGATACCTGAGACGTGAAATAAGGTTTTATGGACTGATGAGTCTAAATTCGTAATCTTGGACTGTGAGAAATGCAACCAACTTCTAAGACTGAACTTCGGAGGTGTGGAAAAACATTTGAAGCAAGTGACCTAAAACAATGAAAACTGTAACAAAGGTAAAGAGTGGGGTCATTTTCTGCAAATATGTTTTCTATTTTTTTCTGTGATGCTAAAAATGAACAACTTGTACTTAATGGCCATTTTGACTGGAAAGTAAATAAATGAAGGGGGGTATGCACAAACTGCAGCTTGGAAAGGATATTCATGTCAGGTGTAAACATCTGTTCATATGCGTGTTTGAAAAACGAAACTCGCACTTTGCAGCAGCAGCAGGCTCTGTGGAGACCGGTCCAGACAACATATGGATGTGATGGGATGCTCCTCATAGGCCAGTAGTGTCCAATCTTATCCACAAAGGACTGGTGTGGCTGCAAGTTTTCATTCCAAACAAGCTGAGGCATCTCTGATTACACTTCTTTATTCAGTTGGTTAAAAAGGTTAAACAGGTGAGCTTCTGCTTTGTTGGAATAAAAACCGGCAGCCACACCAGCCCTTTGCGGATAAGCCTGGACACCCCTGTCATAGGGACACGTCATTTTAAAACAAGGCAATAAATATCTAGTCTCTCAGTCATGGTTTAGTTACAACTCTACTAGCGCAAAATGTAAAGCAATGGACTGACATTGAATATTGATTAAATATTGAATATAAAATGATTAGCTGGACATACTGGACAATATGGATGCACATCTCTCAGTAAATAACAACCATTCAGTCAAGCTATAGTATAAATAGTATTTTATATTTGAAAATGCATTAAAGGAAATCTGAGGGAGCCAGTTTGAATGGGCCTGATGCAGCTGATAATGGTAATAATGGTATTATCTATAAATTCAAACATTGTTTATATCTGTTCTGTACAGGTCTGCTTATTCTTAGACTGACAGATGAGGCAAACTGTTTTACACCCTAGTGCTCCTGTACTGTTTTAGTGGGAGCACTGGGGTGTCAGGTGTGACTATGTGGCAACTGGAAATGGTTTACATGGCTCATGGGTTGGGTAGCACGGCCGCTTTGCAGAATTCTGCTTAGGGCCCCAGGGAGGTCAAGACTGATCCTGATTGTAGCCCAGTAATTAATGTCTTCATTCATAAAAGGGATGCAAACATTATTCTGGAGGTCACATGTTACCAGTTAAACTGAAATACAGAAACCAACCGGGGTGTGTTTTCCAAAGGCGTTGTTGAACAACTACCATAGTTAAAAGACAGAGAGACTATCATTTGGAACAATCTCTCTCCAGAGATACCACAGTGGTTGCATAATGATGTTTTCGGGAAATGTGGTCCTGGTGTGTACTTGCCTTTGCAATCTAAAGCTTGAAAACATGGCTCACTGGGAACCTGGTATTCAAAACATTTATTCTTGTTTACATTTAAAGTGGGGAACTACTCTTCTCTGAGAAAGAAATAGAAAGAAAATCCCAGCAGCCTACCAAGTTGCATGCCTTTTTTGAAAATATGCCAAAACAGTAGAGAGTTTGCGTTTCATGATCTCTTAAATAGAGTATACAGTAAGGAGTAATATATGTGTGAATGGACAAGGAAAATGCAGATTTGTTTACTTGGTCTCCTTTAAGAGATGCGGGAAAGGAACTTCAAACCAGGGCTGCATGATATGGGAAAAAAAAATCTAATTGTGATTACATTATAATTGTGTGATATATTGTGCTCATATTGCCCTGAAATATACACATTGCTGAACCTTTGTTGAGAGGACAGGATTAAAGACTAGCCGGCATTGTTTTTGGTCAATTTTTTTATGTTTGAATTGATTCTTCAAAACACCCACATTTGGAACATGTGGGTTTAAACAGGATGCATGCAAACAATTGAGTTATTAGTTAGAGGGCTTATTTGCATATAAACAGCTGTCTTCCACAGCAGTACTCCAAAGGCTAGGTAATAAATATATTTAAAACAATTAGCACACAATATATCATGTACCCCTACTTTAAAGGTCACAAATCACTTTCTGAGCCGTTTCTCTACTTTATACCAGAGTCCAGTGACACTCCTACCTTTCTGAACGGCATGATGTAATGCTCTATGTAGGGGCCGGTTACAGGCTTAGGTTGCTCGCTGTCATCAGCTATAATTATGGTGACGGTGGGGTAGAACTGCCGAACGCTGTCAATCAAATCTTGAAGCTTGTCGTACCGCAGAAATGTTTTCGTAGCAATGGTGACAAGGGCGCTTATGTTATATTCTAGAAGAGAAGAAAATATAAACAAATTTACAAACTTGTGTTTCAGTTTTGAAACTGTACAGTAATATTTGAGAGCATGTTACCATTACCAGGTCCAGGATCATAAAGCTTGGGAGGGACTTTATGGTGGATTTTAATAGTGAAGGCTGCCTGGAATCCATCTGTGTCAAAATGCACTGGTTGAAAGAAAGATCGACAGCTTAGTCATAGAAACTGCACAGAGAGCAGTGATCATTACATTGATAATCTGCATAATTCACTTGCCTCAACTGGTTGGACATGAATGCGTTACACATAACTGATGTTCTTTGTTCAGAATTGTAGTAAGTGATAATGCAAACTAAATGAAAATTCTTGAAACTGAGATTCAGGACACCTTGCACCAAAATACATAACTGAAAACAGCTGACAAACAAAAACAGTTTGAAATACACTTAGAATAAAACAAACAAACTAAAATTATACTAAGACTCCTCCAAAACTTCTCAGAGATAGTCCTATGCAAAAGTTACATATTCTGTATTTTTTTTTTAATTACATCTTTTCTTGATTTTCTAAGTGACATTAAGTACAAACCCTCTACAGAAAAATACATATCTTACAGTTTTTGATACTTCATTTTCTCTCTGAGGTCCAGGGGCTGTAATACAGAAACTTCTTAAGTCTTAAATCTTATCTAATTTGCTTAGTCACATGACAACTTCAGTTAGGACTGAATTTAGGACAAAATCTATTACAGAACAACAGTTGTTAAGTTCATAATCTTATCCTAACTCCAGATAAAAAAACAGTATTACAGAAACATCCTAACTAGACTAAATTTCCTAGTTTCTGTCCTAACCTTTAGACAAGCCCAGAGTTGTCTTAATTTCAATTTTTACCATCTGTTTCTATTGTTTTGTGCAGTAACAGGCAGCATAACTAGCATAATGACGTTACATTTATATAGACCGAAAATGGTGCTTTGACTTATGAGTTTTTTTTTTCTAACAGCAATTTAAAAACTCTCCACCATCCCCTCTTATTACCATTGTGTGTTAATGTTAATGAAAACTTGTCAGATAAAACATTACAGAGTTTGTGGTGAATAATGAGGAGACAGAGCTGAGTGTGTGTCTGTTTATTAGGAGGAATAACGTTAGCACGCTCGGCTAAAAGCATTTGGGAACGAACTGTGGAATGGCAAGGCACTGATAAACTTCACGAAGTGCTGACACAATGTAGTTTATCAGTCTTTAGTTCTGTTTGACCATTTTTACCTTGGCAACGGCAGCTAACTTTAGCTGTCTGGCTAACTAACTTGATTGTTTTGATTATGTGTTTGTGTTTCAGCTGTGCACCTATATCAGTAGATAACAGGCATGACAGTTGATTGTCGACTTCAACCAAGTAGTTTAAGATTTTCAAACTTAAGACAAGATGCCATGAGATAAGATTCCTAAATTAAGATATTTGCTTCTGTAATATAAATTTGTGAAAACTCATTTTGATCTGTCAGATCTTAAGTTAAGACAAAAACATAAGAAGTTTCTATAATATGGCCCCAGGCTCTTTTTTATCCCTTTTTTTTTAATTTGCCTTTAAAACAGATGATCTCTATACTGACTGGCTGCCCTGAATTGTACCTCATTCAAAAAGCAGCCCTGGCTGAAACACTCCTTTTAACTGTAATGTGAATGGGCAGGGCTAAACTGCAGTCTGAATAAGAGACCATGTATAAATGTGTTTGTTTTCATGACAACACAGAAACAATTCATTCAAAACAGACTATTTTACAGCCTAGTTTCCATATATAGACAGTAAAAGGAACATTTTGAAGTTTTAGCAATGCTTATATACTATATAAAATTCTTATTTCAAAAAAGTGAAGAAAATTACATTTTCCAACGATTTGGGCTCTTTAAATACAATTACTGGTTATTTGCCACATTTATCACATTAGGAAAAACATACCAATCCAAAATAAAGCAAAAAAATGTGGTCTGTGTAAAAGTTATGCCAATATGTTAAACTTTAAATAAAAAAAAAATCTGCATGAAGTTTGCAGAAAAAGCCATATTTAAGCATGCTCTCTGTGTTCACTGGTGTCTGAGTATTGTACACTTTGGGCTAGTAACACTCCACATTTCAGTCATGTAAACACAAAAGCCCCACTTTCCTCACCTGTAGATCACAAAAAAACACAGTGACTGCAAAAGGTGTTCTCATGATGAACTAAACGTATTGGAAAAAAACAGTTTACACAAAACACTGCCCAACCTTTTCCTCGCTTTGCAGAAACCAGTCAAACTTGAATTTTGATGTGAATTTGGATGAAGTTCTAACCTATGTCTGTAGCATCGGGGTGGAAAATTGTGTTGGTGTAAGTAATAAACTGCAGCTGTCTGTTGAGCGCTGACTGCAGGCTGCTGGAGAGGTTCATGTGCATCTCGCCTTCACTCATTCTGACTTCATCCACCATAGTCACTACAGCAAACCTCCCCATACTGGCAGTTAAACTGACCTATAAAATAAACAGCAGCAAAAGCAGCAAACAGAGAAGTGGGGCAGATTTACCATAACTGATATGAAGGCTGGTAAGAAATCCTGTTGATGCAACAGTTGATCAAAGTTCAATCAGATTTAGTCCAATAAAATGTAAACGAAACGAGCATTAAAGAAATATAAATGTTCAACCAGTGAATAACATGAATCCAATTAAACCCAAATTGAATAACAAACTTAATGTTATAATGGACCATAAACATAGATCAACTCCAAACTGAAAAACTAATTACCCCCCAAACCCCCCAAGCTTCTGATTACAATTATTTTCTATTTCCTAATCTCAAGTAAATGTACCAAACATTAAGCATGTGTAATAACGGAATACATACCGAATAAAGGCTTCTAGACGTGTCTTTCAGAGCCAACCCTTAGAAGAAGGACAAAAAAAATACATTATTAAAAGAAAAGAAATGGAAAGAGGTGAATCATGCGAAGTTAAGCTTAGCTGACATTTATTAAATAAAATTATTAGTTAAAGGGGCATTCAAGCCTAAAACTAGCATTTAATATGTTGATTAACAATGTTATCATTTAACATGTTATTTGTCAAGTTATAATATTCTGTAGTGCAGCATTATATTCCTCAACCTTTAACAGAATTCACAATTTGGTGTCCTTTGTGTGACTTTGTCCATTAAATGTTGTCTCACTACAGTCCCCAGCATGCATTATTCAAACATGCAGTACATCCACTGGGGATCCCTAGCCATAAGGAAATTCAGGTTCTTAACAGTCACATTAGAAATCTTGCTTCTTTCTGTACTAGCAAAGAGAAAAAAACACCACACATTTTAAACCATGTACTTTTACTCGAAATACATAATCAAGAGGAAAATCTCATTCTTGAGACCACTGTGGCATTGCTGTTGGAGGCATGTTAGAACAGATGTCACAACGGTTGCATTTTTCATTTTGACTGGGGAGCTTTTACCTTTTACCTATTCCTCCTTCAACACCCTTACATGCATTTAAGCTATTTTAATTTTACCAAGACAAATGAAGCCTTCTCATTCCAGTGAATTCTTACTTTATACGTAGGTAATTTTATAAGTGCTTTACAGACCCCATTATTTGATTAACTCGTTCATTTTCATATTTGAAATGTTACATTTCCTTTGGACTATATGTTCTCTGAGTTTGCCTGAGCACAAATCTGAAGATATGTTCAGGTAGATCAAACAACACAGTTAAAAAAGTGAGTTTTTGTTATTATTTTATATTTTTAGTTCAGTCTTTAGATCAATATGGGACTACTGATTTTAACAAAACAACAGAAAGTTCAAATTTTAAATCACCAAATATGCACTGTATCCAAGGTATGACTCTAAAAGAAAAATGTCCTCACTTTAGACTAGTCAAAACGTGTTCTGTGGCCTTTTTTCCTCTTCATATTTAATTTAGTTGTGAGATATAAATGGGGGCAGCATGGAGGAGGGCGGCATTGGACATGCTAAATTGCCCTTAGGTGTGTGCAAGTGTGTGTGTGTGTGTGTGTGTGTGTGTGTGTGTGTGTGTGTGTGTGTATATGTCTGTGTATCTGCCCTGCGATAGACTGGTGACCTGTCCAGAGTGTTTCCTTCCTTCTGCCCAATGACTGCTGGGATAGGCTCCAGCTCTCCCCACAACCCAGAGGGATAAGCGGCTTAGAAAATGTGTGTGTGTGTGTGTGTGTGTGTGTGTGTGTGATATGAATGGGTGAAAGTGTGTCAGTCATTCCCAGTGGTTTGATGCATTATGGAGAAATTTACAGATCTGGTATAATGGTAAATCTGGAAACTCTTATGAAAGTACATTTGAATTATACATCAAAAGCTTTATCTCAAAACTGTCATAAAACAAGGTCTCCTGCATCAGGCAGCATATTCATAACCATTTCATGTAACAGCTTGTACAGGCATTAAACTCCTATCAGCACCACCATGAACAATTCTGACTGCAGTGATTCAGAAAATGATAAGGGACAATAAGCTACACCTGTTAGCATTCAAAAAGCTAACCTCTGAGTATTTATTGGGCAAGATCAAGGTAGCAGTAGGTGAAATAAACGACTAAACATGTTTAAACAGATTGCTAGTCTTCTTACTTATTAATTGAAAAGCAGTCTTATGAATCTTCTTACCAGGAATCAATATGGACTTCATGGGTCGGACCTCCAAACCCTGAGTGGGGTACTGAAGAGGGCTGTTCGCTTCTGCAACAATAAGCAAGTTTGCTGCTGATTGAGACCTACAAGGTTAAAAGAATAGACATGCAAAGCACAGTGAGCAATATCTATTTATCTAAGAACAAATATTTGAAGGTAATGCTTAATATATCAGTTCAAAAATGCCATCCTGACTCTGGAACAGTGACATTATATGACACTATGTGTCCAAATGTTTAGACACCTGATCATCCAACGTTTCCTTTGAAATCAAGGGTAGTCATTAGAGAGTTTGTCCCCACATTTGTTGCAGTGGCAGCTTTGCTCTTCAGGGAAGGCTTTACTCTAGATGTTGGAACATTGCTGTGAGGATTTTATTGCATTCAGCCACAAGAAAATTAGTGAGGTCAGGTACTGATGTTGGATGATTAGTTCTTGATCTCACTCCAACTTATCACCTGAACTTTAACTCATCCCAACTCATTCCACTGCACCACACCCAGAGCTGGGAGGCTTTATACCTCCTAGATGGTGCTTGGCATTGAGCATTGTGAACGAACAGCTAAATTCACTAATTAGAAGGCTGTCTGGATACTTTTAGACATTTACTGTATGCACTGATTCTTGACACAGATACAGAAACATAATCAGAGAGAATGTTTTGCAACTCTGAACTGTAAAGCACTGCAACACAAATTCAAAAGATAAAGTAGGTGAGACCACCAGTAAACAAGGTTCTACTTTGCATTCTTTTCTAATTAAACACACATTTTTCTAATCAAATGATTATATTAGCAGCATAATTTGACTGAAAATTAAAGCTGTTGAAATATTTACAGGAAATTCAAAATTTCCTATTAATTTACATTTCCTCCTTTAGCTTTAATGACAGCATGCACTCAAGCCAGCATGAGCAACACATTTACGTAAAACCCCTGATGAGATCTGAAAAAAATAACAGCCTTCAACACCACCCCGCACAGTCTGACCTTTTTGTACAAAGGCTTTAACGTAGTCACAAATTTGCTTATGTACGAACAGTGAGCCACAAATAGTACAGACCGAAAGAGAAACAAAAAGGAATAAGTGCCTAAACAGATTTTCATTTTACTTCTCACAACTTTCTGGTGTTTAAATGTTTCAAAATTCAAAAACTTCGTTATCTCATATTTTGTTTAATTGCAAACACAAAAAGCTACATCAAACTTTAGAAATAAATGACCATTTCAGGCGCAAACCCCACTTTCTGGCCATTCTACAATAACAATATTGATTAATTTTGAAATAAAATAAATTCAGCAGCTGTAATGTAGTAAAGTTATAAGTTAATATAATAAGCTCTAAGTTACCGTAATGAGATTTTATTCCAAGTAATGCTGGACAAAATCTAAAGAGAAGCTAGAATCTTCAAATACTGGCTAAAATCAATTGGAAAAAAACAAAAACAAACAAACAAACAAAAAATGTAACCAGTTTCAGACATCAGAAAAATGTGAGAATTCACTCGACCTATGTCAAAGAAATTACAAACATGAACATTTTTTGGTGGAGTGCTTGGCAGTTCACCTCTTCTGGAACTTGCTGTACTCCACCAGCCTCCGCTGCTTTACACCCTCTCGCTTAGAGGCTTCAAAGGCAAACTGTAGCTCCTGAGCAGACACCTGAGGAAATAGCAGGTTGGGCACATTTATGCTGTGCGTGTCTCCTTCACACACACATCCATTTCTGGCAAGGGCCCTGCGAAAAAAAAAGATATTGAACGACAACAGTGCTGTATACAATAACTATAGTACATGGTATATATACATATACACACACACACACACGCATACATACACACACACACCCATCCAAATAATTGAATTCAGGTGTGCCAATCACTTCATGGCCACAGGTGTATAAAACCAAGCACCTACACATGCCAACTACTTCTACAAACATTTGTGAAAGAATGGGTCGCTCTCAGGAGATCAGTGAATTCAAGGGTGGTACCATGATAGGATGCTGCCGGTGCAACATGTCCAGTCAATTTCTTCAGTACTAAATATTCCACGGTCAACTGTCAGTGGTATTATAACAAAGTGGAAGCGGTTGGGAACAGAAGCAACTCAGCCACAAAGTTGTAGGCCACATAAGATGACAGCGCGGGGTCAGCGGACGCTGGGGCGCATAGTGCGCAGAGGTCGCTAACTTTCTCCAGAGTCAATCGCTACAGACCTCCAAACTTCATGGGGCCTTCAGATTAGCTCAAGAACAGCGTAGAGAGCTTCATGGAATGAGTTTCCATGGCCGAGCAGCTGCATCCAAGCCTTACATCACCAAGCGCAATGCAAAGCGTTGAATGCAATGGTGTAAAGCGCCGCCACTGGACTCTAGAGCAGTGGAGACGTGTTCTCTGAGTGATGAATCACACTTCTCTGTCTGGCAATCTGATGGATGACTCTGGGTTTGGCGGTTGCCAGGAGAACGGTACTTGTCTGACTGTATTGTGCCAAGTGTAAAGTTGGGTGGAGGGGGGATTATGGGGTGGGGTTGTTTTTCAGGAGTTGGACTCGGCCCCTTAGTTCCAGTGAAAGGGCCATAGGTCCATAAAGACATTGATGAGCGAGTTTGGTGTGGAAGAACTTGACTGGCCTGCACAGAGTCCTGACCTCAACCCGACAGAACACCTTTGGGATGAATTAGAGCGGAGACTGCGAACCAGGCCTTCTCGTCCAACATCAGTGTCTGACCTCACAAATGTGCTTCCGGAAGAATAGTCAAAAATTCCCATAAACACACTCCTGAACCTTGTGGAAAGTCTTCCCAGAAGAGTTGAAGCTGTTATAGCTGGAAAGGGTGGGCCGACATCATATTAAACCCTATGGATTAAGAATGGGATGTCACTCAAGTTCATATGCGTGTGAAGGCAGACGAGTGAATACTTTTGGCAATATAGTGTATATATGTATTTGTAGCGCACAGTTTGAGTAGCTGTTTTCTGCTGCTGCTCAGTGTTAAATGCAGCAATGTGTTCCAGAGAAACCACATCCTGTTCCTTTTTCTGTGATAAAACAACAAAGCTGACTGACATTTTAGCTGCAGTGGTGCGGTGAGTAGTGCCTCACAGCAAGAAGGGCCTGGGTTCAGCTCCCATCTAGATGACCAGGGTTCTTTCTGTGTGGAGTCTGCATGTTCTCCCTGTGTCTGTGTGGATTTCCTCCCACAGACCAAAGACATGTAGTCAGGCCAACTGGACACTGCCCCTAGGTGTAAATGTGTGTGTGTAAATGTGTTTTTTTTTTCGCTGTAAACACATTATATAAAACAGAATAAAAAACAAATACAGTAAAATGTAAGTAGACCTTTTAAAAAAGATATGACTATAGATGATTGCTCAGTTACTCAGTCAACCTGCCTCTGACTGCTCACAGTTTAAGACAGCATGCCCTGCAGATGTGTTTATCTGAGTGGAACAATCTTACATAAACAAATCTCTCAATAAACAAATTTCTCAAGTAGACCAACGAATATTGGCCTCAGAACTAGTTCTCCATGAACAGTTAAATTAAAGTGATTTTGACTAAAATTTGCATTTCCGTGGTAATCCTTCGTCCAGTTCCCCTGTATGTTCGCGAAGAACTATCTCCTGAAACTGTTTCCGAGTGATGGCAAACCTTCGCGGAGACCCCAAGGCAAACAGAAAACTGTTTGCAAGTGCTCGCCTGTGAATTTCAACGAACTGGATGCTACGACAACTATGCAGTGTCTAAAACTGTAAACGGTATCTGAAATGTGAACAGGGTCGTTGTGAATAGTAGTTACTTGTTTGTCCGTTTCACCTCCATTAAGGATACCAGAGAACATGCATTTCAAAATAGAAAATGTTACAGGACGGCTTTTAACATTAACATTAGCTTACTAACTTGCTAGCACAACTATCTTACTGAGATGTATTCTTCATCCTGTGAGCTGACGCGTTTCCTCTTCAGATGCTCCAACATGGAGGACATGCTCTCATGAGAGCTAAGGTCAATTTTACAAATAGCACAACTAACAACATTTTTCCCCCAGAGTTAAGCATATCGCTGCTTTCAGAAGAAAACGTCGTATTTCCATTTTTGATATTTTTCGGTTTTGACATAACTTGAAAATGCCTGTTGCCCTTTACATTGTGTGTAAGAAATGGCTCCATTGACTTACATTAAAAGTACAGTAGGTTTTTTCCTTCTCCTGTAAAGTTACCATTTTGGAGATGCAAGGTTTTCTTCCGACAACAGCGATATGCATCCACACCTTTGAGGATTCGTAGTGAGTATGAGAAACAGGTGTGATTACATCACCAACTAGTCATTAGTTGCCAACCAATTTGGTCATCGATTTTAGTCGACTAAGTTGATTAATCATCGCACCCCTACTTAATACTAAGGGATAATACTGAGTATTTACCAGTAAAAGATTTTTTGAAGAATATGTTTCCTTGATTATTGGAGCAAATTACATAGTTTTTGTAATACTTTCAGGTGTTTTATGGCTTAAAATATGGGCAATAAACAGAACAAGCCACCATCTCAGTTCAAAGGTCTAGTTGACAGTCAATGAGGCAAGGATAGAGGAGAAGAAAGATCAGAAGTGGAAAAAGCCAAAACAATCAGGTCAAATGGGATGTATTTAGACAATGGGAAAGAGAAGCAGAACACAGGGCATGTCAGAGTGAGGCAGGGCAGGGTAAAATGCATTTTGCACGTTCACGTCTAGGGGTAGGGTGGAGATAGAGGGGTAGGATGAAGTGATAGGGCTACATGGCCCTCCAAGAGCAGTTTTTTAGAGTCACACTCCAAACAGTGTGTTATAAGAAAAAAGAAAAATCTGCAAGATGTCTGCGCAACAGACCAAAGAAACCCACAAATGTAAGTATTTTCTCCATTAAAAGTTACAATAACCAATGTATTTTCTTTTAGTTTAATGTAATTTCAATGTATTATCATCCTTTTCTTTATAACCAGCATAAAAAAAGAACTGCTAGTAGAATGCTGATGTCTTGGTAGTTAACTAGCTTAACTTCCCATTCCACCCTAAGTGAACCCTGGGGTGCCAGAATGTAACTGCTGCACCACTTAAGGTGGAAGGGGAAAATTCGAACAAGAAGCTAACAAAAAGCTGAAGTCAGCTTCATAACACTGAAGAATTATGGGTGGGCAATAATAAATAATTGTCATATCCCCCCTTCTTTGAAGGCAGACGGTGGCCTAAATTTAACTAAAGACTAGCAGCGAGGTTGCTGAACTTTACCCTCCTCTGCCATCACTGCAGACCGGTAGGGTCACCTACAGAGCATGGCTTGTAGCCTGTTCATAAAGTCATGTTCTTTTCCAAGGGGCATGGTGAAACTCAAAAACAACTGGCCTTGGAATTGGGCCTTGAAATGAAGCAGCTAAAATGTGACTGAACTGTAGATTTTTAGGTCAAAATGATGGTATTGTTCAATATGTCGAAGCAGAGGTTAACAAATATCTGCCTAAAGGATTCTACCGAGTTCATGGTGGTATTATTTATTTTAATCAGAAATTTGTGGGTCCGTGTCATGATTGTCTTTTTTGTAAAAAGACAGTATCTTACACACCATAGTTACTGAATGTAGGTATGAATACACTTTACTGTGCCGTACACAACTGCTCACGATTAACACACCTGCCAGAGCAAACCCTCCAAACTCCCATGCCTACAGGACCTGGGTCTGACCACTGAATAATGTGTCACATGGTCTCTATGCAAACTATGCGCATGGTCGAACTGAGGTACTTGCTGGTTCTAGTGATTGTTCTTATAAAGTCAAAAAAAGCCAATTTGGCAGATCTGCCTTTGCCGCCAGGAGTTTTTTTTGCTGTGCGTGACTATAATGCATACTGGCAGTTGGCCAAAGAAATCTTATGGTACTGTGACTGAGCTAGAATGGTCCCATTCATTAGATATGAACATCCACAGGACAAGCAAAAATTAATTCTCATGCAAGCTGAAAAGATACTTGGGCTTTTTCCTGGTAAGCTTCCTGGACATTTTTTTTTTAAGGTGGTAGTAACTTCAGTCTGCTGCAGATGGCGTTGCACAAGGATGATCAGGCTATAAATAGCTGCAGGGTGTGTGATGGGATTCATAGATTGAGAAGAGGTGAACTCTCCCAGTACTGGAATAAAGGAAGATTTTCTTTAACTCAACTACCGAACAGTTTTTTCCCTAAAACTTATTTTTTACAGAATAAATTCTTGTCAGAGAGGTGCACGCAGGATGTTCTAAGGCAAAATAAGCCCAAAGGAAGCATTAGCCCGTACTCACCCTGCTGTGATGTGCATAGGGTGGAAGGGAACGTCAAGGTCAGTCTCCAAATGTTGAGCACCGCTCTGAAGAAGCTTTTCTATGCTGGAGTCCAGTCTTTGCTGAACGTTAACGACACTTGAGGGGCTTGACATCAAGTAATGAATAAAAGCTCCAAATATTAATGACACACAGGCCAGCAAAACTTTCTTCCTCTGAACACACATGATGGCCTATGGAGCACAAAGACAGAATGGCAAATAGTACCTAACCAGTATTTTCGGGTCACTAAATCAGCACCTTGCACCTTTTACACCACCTGCATGCTGTAATACTTCAGGCGCAATCGCTAGTTCATAATGCAGCTTACTGTCATTTGTCATTGTAATATCTAGTCATTTTAATAATAAATGATACAATGTACATTTAAAAGTTTAACACTACACAACAGGTATTTGAATATTTTATTGAAATAACAGGCAAGAATAGATAATAAGTGTTTTAGGAAACATTAAGTGAAGTAACACTGGAGAAATAATATCAATAATTTCAATTTTATGTCAAAGTATCTAATTCACATTATTCTCAATGCTGTTTTTCAATCATTTGGTACAGCTCTGTTCGTTATTCTGAACATACAGTACTGTCCCAGTAACCACCCTTAAAATAGCTATTAGGTACAAGTTTTTCTCATATATTTCTGAAAAAAATTACATGTAAAATAATCCACTGGCATACGGAAGGGGAAAGTGAAATAAAAGTAAAATTTGTTATTACTTGGACCGTGAGCACACAAGGATGAATGAACTGGCCACACTAGAGTCCACATTTTAACGTCATTGAGTGTGTTTAGGATTATTTAGATTGTGAGAAGCAGAAAACGTAACCAACTAAGACTGGATTTTAGAGGTGTGATAATCATGGTCATAATAAGGACAAAAAAATGACACTTAATACTGCAAAAAACTATGTTTAGCTGTTGCAGCTTCTGTTAAATTTTTTGTCAAATATTTTCTATTTTCTGTTCCAACACTGAAAATGAACAACTTGAATATAATGGCTGTTCTGACTGGAAATTAAATATTGGAAGGGTGACTTTTGCACAGTACAGTCCAGAATAAAGAGAGCTGTAAGTGATCACTAAATGCCTGAAAAAACTGTACACTATAGCACTGAGAATCATGTGAGGTGGATACTTTGATGAATAACTGAAATCGATTTCCCTCGTGTGTTACTTCTTGTTCCTTGAAAACAAACATTTTAATTCTAAGTAATTCCACAAGACTAGCTTCATATTAGAACTACTTTATTTATCTGCAGCAGAATTCATTATATATACACATCATTATACAAAAACTGATTCCAAACTTTGAGTGGTAGGACATATTCACTGTGGAAAAAAACCCCTACATCTGCAAAATGGCAGCATAACAGGAACTGTTTGTTCCGACAGTGAAGATGTGCTACCACTCAAAGTTTGGAATGAGTTTTTGTTAACAAATATAGTCAATTCTGTTACAGAAACACAAATAAAATGGTTGTAATATGATAAAAAAAAATCTTTTAAAGGATGTTAATATAACCTTTATATTAATCTTTCACATTAGATAATTGTACAATATATAATTATACTGTATTATCATTGTACACTTCTGACATACTGTAAAGCGCAGATGGCATTTTCAAATGATGAAAAGAAAAAAAGAACAGCAAAAATGGAGATACAGCAATAAAATGGAGGCTTTGCACTGACAGTAAGGATATTTCAGTGCTTCAGCACAGCTTTCAGTCTCTCTTTTCTTCTGTAGGATGCTTTAACTGTGTAACATGTTAATATTGTAATTACACAATCATTTTTAACATCTTTTCTTTATCTTATATTGCAGAAGAGCTCTAATGCCAGCCCTGTCCTCAAAGCTTCCTGACAGAGGTTAGCCAAATACGGTTTAACATTGAAGATCACTGATAATCCTGCTAGGGAACTTCTAAAGCTTTAAAGGTTTGACACCACACTTGTTTAACACATGCTTTGACAACGTTCGGTACAGGAGGAAACCACAAGACTGCCCTGCACAAAAAGAATTATGTTACACAACATAAAAGTTGCCTAACTGCCATGTGAAAACATTTTTGCAAATGGGATGTGCAAAATCTCAAGTCCAATCTCAAGACAAGAACCATTTTTGGAAGAGTGGAGATGCAGTACTAATTTCAGCTGTCATGTAGAACTTAAAACACAAAGCAGTGACTCACTAGTCTAATGGTCAACCTCTCTTGAGCCTAATGAAGACAAGCAGAAGATAATATACAGAACTACCAATGATGGCTTATTAAAATCAGCTCTTACCCTCAGAAATATGGCTAAACAATATCCTTTCCTCGCCATGATCATGGAGAACATGGAGCAGTCTTCAGCTCACATGTGAATGATGACTGCTCACTTGAACGCGCTGCTCCGTCCTCTAAAACTGAGCTGGGAAGAGATTAGACTGATGGCGGCACACTTCAGACTCATCACTGCATGCAGGTGTCCCCACTCTCTTAAAAGCCTAAATTCCCTTATCAGAAAACGTTGCCAACAATAAAAGAACTGGGACATCTTATCAGGGAGTAAATAATAATATTAAGTTGAGTATGTACTGAATTAACGTTCAAAACATTATAAAACTTTCGAAACATCAAGTTACTACGCTATAGTAATGATTTGCGCATGCTCAGCGGGTTTGAGTCAGTTTTTTGCTTGAAATCTCTGTGAAAAGGCGCGTCTGCTCCACTTTAAAACAATAATCGTATTAACTTAAAAATGTAAACTGACTGTTGTAATAGATTCAGTGGGCCTGTAACAGTACTGTAAGGACTTGAGTGCAGAGAGGAATGGCGTTATTAAAGCATCAATGCGTTTTTTTTCTTTCTTCTTTTGCTTTTTGTTACAGTGGTTTCTTGTTAAGTTGGCTTGAAAAAGCCAGTGCTAACCGTACACGAGAGGACACTGGGAAGAAGTTGTAAAGACTTTTGAAAGACTAAATTCTGACATCTAAAGACAGTGTCACTCTTTTTAGTCACAGACTATGATTTTGATCTTGCAGGGTCACTATTTGCAAGACTGCAACTGGAGTTTTGAGTTTATTTCCCATCATGTCCCCGGTGGAAGCAGATACATCATTTTTTTCACTCTATGGTGGTACAGATGGGGAAATACGTTGGCTGGACATGCAAAGATCTGGGGCTGAGCCCAGTTCACTGTGGTATTGTATACTCTGGCAGATCATCACCTAGATTTTGTAAACTGTAACTGTAAAATGTGCAGTCAACTGCAATTAACATAGCACTAAATTTAAGGTGGCACTAATTTTAAGGTGGAACTGCAATTAACATAGCACTTAATTTAAGGTGACAGAATTTAAGATTGAACTCCATTTAAGTTGTAAAAAAAATTAAGATGGCACTGAATTTAAGGTGGAACTAAATTTAAGGTGGCGCAGAATTTAAGGTGGAACTAATTTTAAGTTGGCACTGAATTTAAGGCGGAACTTCCTTTAAGGTAGCACTAAAATTAAGGTGGCCCAGAATTTAAAGTAGAGCACCATTTAAGGTAGCACGAAAATTAAGGTGGCACTGAATTTAAAGTAGAGCACCATTTAAGGTGGCACAGAATTTAAGGTGGAACACCTTTTAAGGTAAATGACCCCGCAATAAATAAAGTATGTCCCTGAACATTGAGACACCTATGTCGTTTGTTCTAGCACACTACCGGAGCTCCGTGGGGAACAACCAGATAGAGTGAGGCGGTGGTGGGATCAGGGAATGGGGAGAAGAGGAAAAAAATCCTTACAATGGGCAATTGCGCTGTCATTAGCTTCGCTGTGGTTTAGAGTTTGACCTTGAGGTTTATCTTAAACCTGCTTCATGGCATGTTTTAATTTAATGCTATATTTCTTAATACACTGAAATACCATACTGAACTAGAGGAAGCGTTAAGGCTTTTTCTGAATGTATTGTTCAGAGAAGCTGATCTTTGTTAGGCTATCCTTATTGACCCCAAAAGGGAACTATAGCATATACCCTTTTAATGTCAGAAAACTTTTAGCCTGGATAACAAGCATATTATAAATAAGCAAGACATATTACTTGTTTGTATACTAAAAATGATTAAAAATTAACGATTAGGCCAACTATAAAATGATTGTTGCAGACACTGAGATATATTAAATTTGTTCACTAAACTAATATACAAAGGATAATTAAGGAAAACTAAGTAAATTGTACTGTGAGTGGCAAATGAGCAACGTAGCATTTTGAAGAAAAAAAAAAAGAATAGTCCAACTGAGGGACACCCAAAACAAGCAGAGATTGCATTTTATGGCTTCTCTGAAAAAGGGTGAATCACCACACTTCTTCCAACTATTCACTTATTGGAGCAAACACTGCAAAGGGGCATTAAAAGTGAAGTTCACTGCTTAAGGGCTGCATGCCAACATACTGAAATACAGGAATACCTAACTTTAATGTTCAGGTAAAGCAGGTGAAGTTTCTCTTTCTGAGGTATCAGGCTTCCTTCATGAGAGATGGCCTACAACAGAGTTTCAGTGGGTGTCACAACAAGTTGGTCGTGGGCCATTCTTGACACTATATCCTGTTGAATACTCCTTATTTGGAAATCAACACTCAAATCTGTTTTACTTAATTTAAATATTGTCCTATATTAAAAATGAACATATTTTGTAACATTTAAAAGCTTATTTATTCATTGTAGCAGCTAAATGTACAGCTAGCTGGCTGACAGCCTTCTAAAGGGGGTTAGTTGAGATACATTGCAGAGGTCATAAAGGTTACAGACTTTGTGCCGATGAGATCCATCACAATTAATCAGATTCAAATAAATAAATTTACCTTCAAGTTCACACTTCAGTGTCTGTCAACATGCAGACTTATGAGGGATCTCCAGGGCAGTAGGTTTAAAAGCATGCATTTGGGACAGACTTGTGTTGCCTACAGGATGTGGATTATGTTTCTCTATGCAAATTATACAAATAGTTTTATGCAAAAATGATCCATCATACAATTTTTTAATTTGGTTATGAACAATATCGCTTATCAGTGGCTCAATCCAGATTGCAAGCATAATGTTATTCAAGGAGATGGTAAATTAATAAACAGATGCATTTTAATCCACATTTAAAATTTTTTTCATTACAAGTTTTACCCCTTACCAACCTGAGGTCTCTGTGTTTCATTACCTGAATTTCTAACTGGTCTTTCTGGTTCTTGATCATGGGTACGTCTCTGATGACCGCTGCCTGTATGGACGTTGAGCATTGAATTACCCCAAATAAAGCCATTTTGCACTTGCAACCTACGTGCCTCTGATGTTACAACATGAATTTTGAATTTCTTCGTATTTGGTACAGTATGTCCCTCTTTTGCTTTAATGACAGAATGCACTCGAGCTGGACATATGTTTTTGCAAAAGCCTCTGAGTAGATCATGAACATGATTCCCAGGAGGATAGTTGGTGATCACTGACTCAGATGATGTAATCTGATTACAAAAGTGAGGCACTTATTATTAGAGTATGATACCTTTGAAAATAGCCACATTCAAGTTACAGATACTTTTTTATGGATTAGAATTTTTTGGTAAATCAGCTACAACTTTATCAGAAATATTATAAAGTAATACAGAAGTAACCAATTAGATTCGAGTAAATTACTCAATTTAAGTGATCTAAAAGATTTTTACTGATAACATTTTTAATCATGCAATTTGCACATTTCTACAGAAATCTCCCCAACTCTGGCTATATGGGTTTAGGTATAATGGGACAAATAACAGTGTCATTTTTCTAAAAGTCATTCACTTGGCATATTTGTTGATAAAAAAATTATGAATAATATAGTAGACAAAATTTGAATGAACAGGAATTTCCTAAAGTGTTCCCCTGAACCTGGTGCCAGGCTTCCTGAAAGTTAAGAAAGAAAAAAAACATCCAAAAATTGCTGGAATTACTTCTGTAGCGGTCATAAATGTACAAATTAAACGTTTATAACATACATTTTATTCAAATATGTAACTTCTGCTGTTTCTGGGTTCTTTCACATCTCAAGGATCGGCGCATCCTTCAGTGGGCGGGGCTTCGGTGACTCTCTTCCAATCAGAGGGCAGCACTCCGTGATGCTCAGTGGAGCTGCAGGTCTGAATGCAGAAACACAAAGGAGGCCTCGACAGAGCAAAACAGGCGGAAAGCTAAAAACGGCCACTCGTACTGAAAATGATACAGAACAATACGGCTTTCCTGAGCGATATTAAATATCTTTGCTAGGATTCCGTCGTTGTTTTTCGACTACCTGTATGTTTGCTGGTTAGCGGGCGTCATATTACGCTTTCGACATGGAGACATGTTCAGTCTTTCAGGTAGCTAAGCGAGAGGACGACGGCGAGATGTACACACTGAAACCTGAAATCATGGCTTACAAAACGGCTGCTCACTGGAGACGGGAGACTTCAGAAGGTCTGTGGATAACATGCCTCACATTGAGGAGAGAACTGCTCTAAGCTGCTGGCAAAAAGAGCCTAGTTTTGTGAAGACAATAAATCAAATTCGGTAGCATTTTGAATAGTTAATAAAACCTTATGACATGTTAAGGTATCTAATAGTCCTTAATTAGGTGTAATTCAGTGACGTTAACAGTCCTCACTAACTTTGGCGCGTGCAGTTAGCCACCTGCTTCTCACTGTCGCTCTGCATTGAGTGAAATGACCGTATCAGAGCGCTCGAACTGATCAAGAATAAGCACTGAATCAGTAAACAGTTGTTAGAAGTTGAATCACACCTCACATTTCACAGCTGCACCGCATTTACGTTGTCTGTGCCTTTGCTTTTTGCTCAGCTCACTAAGAACGGTTTAACAATGTGACCTGAAGCCAAGAAGCAGCAGGTGTCTGGGAGCTAAGGCAAATACCAAGATTTGTCTGTCACCCAAGGTAACCAGCTCAAAGCACCCTTCATCATTAACCTAAGCTCACATTAGCTCCCTGGTAGCTAAACTCTGACTGCAGTAAGGTGTCATGGCTGTATTATAGACAGACTTTAATACAGTTGGTGAAGATCAGGCTACAGGTGGACATAAAGGCACAAAAATTGCTGCAAAACCAATGTGTTTTTGTTTTTTTTGAACAGATATATGACTGTCCTTTGACCCAGTTCACCCACTTATCCTGACTGAGAGAAAAAAAAGATTCGGCTGTTTATCTGTCATGTTGACACTCGGATCATCGGGCTTCATTCACCAATGTCTTCTTATATTTTTTTTATGTGTTCTTTAGAAAAGACCTAACAAAAGGTCTACATCAGATTCATGACGTATATATAAACCACAGAATTGGTCACACATTTGTGCTCTTGAGTGTGTAAATTCTGTTCTTACCTAAGAACAAATTCCAAGTAAGAAACCTTTGGTGAATGTCAGAATCTTCGTGAAAACTGCGTAACTGAGTTTTGAGAAGAAACTTCTTCTTAAGAACGGTTGGTGAATGAGGCCCTTTGCTTTGGTAAATCAGAGAGATATTAGTAAATGCAGATGCACTAATGCTATCTTAGATGCTCCATTTCTTCTGTCACTGCTGTGCTTTCACCTTTATGTATGGTCAAAACTGGGTGTCACTTCAGTAACCAAGCACTTTTCAACAATAAGAGCTTTTTTAAATGCCCTAACTGGGCCAGTGGCTCAGATCAGGTAACTAACAGCATCTCTAACAGGTATAGATATGCAGTGATGTGAGAGTCTTGTTGGTTTTGGCAGGTAATTGCCAAAAAAAACATCATCTGACAGATGTTTTGATTTGGATGATATTTCAAACCAATATTTGATTACTTATTTGTTGTATCCCAGAATTTTGGGTGACCTTTTTACCACTATCTGGTGTTGGAAGTCCATGTCAGAGCCCCTAAAAAAACTTGAAAAACACTGGGAAAGGTTGTCTTTTCAGCTTTGTAGTTTGAAGTAGCTGTCTTTAAAAACTTTTTACTGTATTGCTGTATTACCAACATTAGTATTCAGTAAAATTACTAAGCTGCACTGAAAAGTTTCAAGACATTTCAGTGTGCAACCAGAGCTGGGCGATATGGCCAAATATATTATCACGATAAATGAAATTCATATCGTTCGATATCTATACATATCGTGATAAATGTCAAATCATTATTTCTTTCAAGTTTGAAGGCTGATTTTTGCTCCTGGGGGGTTAATTGCTATTTTAAACTATCCTTTATGGTCAGAACATGACAAACACTCAAACAGTGGAACATTTCACAAATCTGTCATGGGAGAGTTAGAGAGAGTGTCTGGTGAGCTGTTTTTACCAGCTGGAACAGCATGGCTATTTTTGTAATAGTCATAATTTAAGAAAGAAAACAGATTATTTTCAGCTGGTGACGAGCGCTCGGCTACCCCGTTACAAATGACATCACAGTATTCAGACACGAGCTAGCGACGACTGGATTTCTCTATACTATCGTAGTAGTTTAAGTGGTGAACCGCAAAATATCAAGACCAGACAAATGGAGTCCTCCTATTAGGTGTTCTCCATGTTGTGCGAGTGACAGAGCGCTACTTCAAGTTAGCCAGCTGCTAAAAACAGCTAGCCTGGAAAGCTAATGTTCTTTTGCTCTCCAATGCCACACATACAGCATCCCCAGTTTACCTTCGTTTAAATCAGGGCTGTAACTGACACGAACTCACTTCTTTCTTTTACTTTTGTTGCTTGTGAATGCACTAATACTAAAATATGACTGTCCGAGTGCTGTAACAGCGCTGTAGTTGTGAGGACTGTGATTGTGATTTAACGCTGCTAAAGCTTGTTAGGATGTAAGGAAAGAGGTGAGTTCACTTTAGGACAGTACAGTTACACCACTGATCTCGTCACTCACACTCGGTCACAGGAGAGCAGATCGCCGGTCGCTCCACTCAAACAGGGAATGTATAACTTGGTGTTTCAGCCATTGCTAAAGACTCATCTTACTCGTGGCCCCCTTCCCTCTCTAAATCATGTTAAAAAACTCAGAAATGCGCCCTCTCCTGGTGACAGCAGAGTAGTGTCACTTTTCTTGCAGTAGAAAACGCCACCAAGGCTTTCGCTAGAACGTGGAAGTGTGAGAATGGTGTATTATATCGAACATTTATCGAACATGTCGTATCGTTCTATCGAGGAAAAGTTATATTGTGATAATTATCGTTATCGTTTTATCTCCCAGCCCTATGTGCAACCAGTGACAGTGCCTCAGTGACCAGGCAGTACTGGCCCGATAGGGCAAATGACATGTCAGGGAACTGGCCTCAATCTGTCCCATACTGGCCTCGGGTACCGGGCCAGCCTTATTGTTGAACGTTACCAGAGATACCCTCTTGTTATATTCCCTGATTACACTGCCTTACGGAGCCTCCTTAAGAAGGAGGAAATCAGGAGCTTATTTAGTATATAGCACAATACTGCTTTTCTTTTTTTGATACCAATACTGGTATTGAAACCTTGAGTATCAGCCGATACTCATATGTTACTTAAAAAAAAAAGCTAAGCTTTAAAATGTTGTGTATTTAGTTGAACTGAATTGATTTAGCTGAAGTCTTGGCTGAAATCAAAAATTCAGGACACATTTGGCTGAAAACTGAAACCAAAAACTGAAAAAAGCTGATAATAACAATCAAAAAATGAACCATCATTGACAAAAGTGAATGGTTCTCCTTTCAGTGCAAAGAATTCCTCTATTTGTTAGTTATATTTTGCACTTTTTTTTACTGTCATTTGTGTTTTTTTTCCTCTTCATCTCCTTATTTCAAAGACTTTGGCTATTGTTTTGCTGTATTCTGCTTATCAAGCTGGATGTCATCTTTTTATGCAGTATTAAACCTGTAGTGGAGAAGTTTTGGGAGTTGTATCCTTTCTTGATAGTCAACATAAACAGTGATTACAAATTACTTGTCTTATGTCCCTCATTAAAACATGAAATAATTTGGACAGTTTGTCGTAGACCTTTTGATCTTTGTGTTTCTTGTCAAACTTTTTGGCTGTATTTCTCTTTCAGGCAAAAACAGAGAGACATTTTTTACTATTTTCAGCCCAGTTTTTCCGGTCGAACTTCCTAGAGTCCCGACAAATGTGTGAATAAGTCTCATCATTGGTATCAAGCTGGAATTGGAGTGTGTCTTCTTAAGCGGCTGTAGTGTTTTTGTTGGTTAAGTTAGTCATGCTTGCATTTGAAGTGTGTAATATGGGCCATTTTTCTATGAGTTGTATGAGTCACAGTTCTGTATGAGGCTCAGTTCTGGTCATGCAGCTGGTTGCCTAGAGAATGACTTGTGATCTCTATGAACTCATTTAATCCTGAGGAAACTTAACCAGAAACATTGAAATAAGTCTGTGAGTTAAAAGTGAGTTCTAGTGTGTTCACAATTAATGCTTCAAATCCAGCACACATACAAAGAGGAAAATGAAATGATTGGCCAATTCAAAAATGGCACCAACCATCATTGGACCTTGTATCACCCATTGTTTGTGCATGTGTACCTTTCTGTAAATTTAGTATTGGCACACAGTCAGCATGGGTGTTTGGGTGTGGACTCAGGGCAGTGTTGATCTGGCTCCATGCTATAGGCTGCTTTTGTTTGAGAACTCCAACGTACTATTGATAGAGACACACTGCTTAAAATGCAAACTTGCATCTTACAGCAGTGGTGCAGTCTCTAGAGCGAGATTTTCCAGTTTAAAGACAAGAAAAAGGCCTTTCAGATGATAAAGGTAGGAGGAACCTTTAAGGTTGGGCTGTTTGAAGTGTTTATTTTTTCCCACTGACTGTCTAAAACAAAAGGAAACCAGTTAGCGAATGTTTCCATCAGGAAGTTGAATATAACATATTTAATTTTGTCTTGTTCACTGTTGGGTGTTCTCCGTGGTTATATTGCTTATGTGTAGAGAGGACGCTGGTTACTGTTGTGACACAACACTGGCTATGTCTACATGCAAAGATTTTTGCCAATCCGATTGAATACATTCCGATTATAGAACAATCTGATGGAAATCTCCATTTACATGCACAGAAGAAGTAATCTTATCCAGAATTATGCACATGCGTAGAGTTCCACTTAGTGAAGACATTGCCGTGACAACGAGCATCACGTGAGTTCAGAGTCAGACGAGGAGCAGTAAGCAGTTTTTGTGGTTTTAATTGCTTTAGACTCAGGAAAACGTCCTTCACATGTGCTTATTAAAGAAGAGCGAGAGGAAGACGTCTTTTAAAGATCGAACCCTAAACTTCGTCTCGTTTGCAGACCAGTTTCTGCTCCCGCCATGTTGAACGTTATAAACTTTCGCTATGATGCGAACGTACTTAAACTTTCCGATTGGCAATGTAATCAGATACAGGCGTTTACATGGTTATTATTCTTCTATTTAACGGATTATGTACTGGATTACCCACCTTGTTTGATTGGATAGAAAGTGTAGTCCGAATGGCCTCAATTGGACTGGTCTGTTGGATGTGTTCTCTTCCGATTGAACTATTAGTCGGATTATTAATGGATTATTAGGCTGCATGTAAACATGGCTACTGATGGAGCACAAAAAGGATACAAAACAGTGAATTCTGTCAGACCAATCATACAATATGACATTACATATTAAGTTCAGCTTAGCACTTTAGCACTGTCTGTTCTTAAAGGGCCCATATCCTTCATTTTTCTAGTATTTTTTTTTCCTTTCAGTTCCACTTATAATATTTATGTGGTTTTATGTACCAAAATGTTCATAATTGTTTTTTACATGAGTCAAGTCTTAAACCTTTTTACTGTAATATTTTAAATGTTATAAAATGTTGATTGAAGGATTAAAACTGACAATGTGAATTGGAGTAAAGCTCTGATGAAGTAGCTTACAGGTGCAGGGCTGGACCCTGATGGACATAAAGGTGCATAGCTCACCGCAGGTCTTTAATAAAGAATAATTAACACTCTTATCTTATCAAAGCATTTGTGACTACAAAGTGTATCAGTCTGAATCTTGCTTATATTCTTTCCATGACTCCAGATAATTAGTTCTGTATAAATCAACTGTTTTCACTATTGTTCTTGTTCTGTTTGTGCTGTTACATTTAAAACTGTTTATTGGCTTCTTTTGTCAAGAAAAGAAAGTGTTGGTATAACAATATATGTAATCTTTGTGGTAAATAAGAATAAGCTTAAAGTGAATAGCTTATCTAGTATAAGTATAGTATGACCTTCTTGTATTATTTTTTTCAACATAATAAACTATATCAATAACCCTTTAGTTTAAATTTAAGAAACACACATTGCGGGTTTGTTAGGGTTTTGTTCTTTGTTAAGTAAAGCCCAAATTAGACACTTCTAAATAGTTTATTCACAGTTTATGCATTAAACTTTATTCATTATGACCTGTATTAGCACATAATTAGAGGTTGCGAATGATATGGCAAAAATTTCAGATCGCAATGCTTAAAGATATTTTTGTAATACACAATTCTTATCACAGTCTTTTGACACGGGTACAATGTGGTAGTGCCACATTTAAAAACAGCCATCAAAAACTTTTTATTGCAGTAAAGTCCATTAAACAGGCCTAATTAAATTCTCTTACTAATGAAACATTCAATTGGTCAGTGTTCTTAAAGTCTGATAATATCCACATGCTTACAAAAGGAGATTGTGTATCACAGTAAAAAACATTTATCATGATACAGATAAAATATTGTCTTATCACCTCTAAGTGGGGCTCTGTTATGTGAAAATCACTGATTGAATTATCAGTGCTAATAATGCATAATAAACCCTTTGTTACGACTGTGTTATGCAAATTATTGTACATAATTGAATCACTTAATTTGCCACATTGTTAGAACATTTTGTTCTTATAGGTTCTATGTGGGGTCAAATGACCTCTGGAGTTTATTGCATTAAAGCTAATAAAAGTTTATTAAGGCGCTTATTGAAACTTATTTAAAACTTGTTTGGCCTCTAATTAGCAATGACTAAAACTCTAGAACATGGAACACATCTTGAAGTATCATCGACTTACTAAACTCTTATTAGTTTTAACACAGTAAACTCCAGAAGTCATCTGACACTATCTAGAACATATAAGAATAAGTGTTGCTTATCATACATCAATAAGAGGTGAATTTAGGTGATTAATTCATACTTGGTATTTTGCAGAACCAAGTCTTAATGTGTTTATTGTGCAGTATTTTAACTAATATTGCAATTATTAGTGATTTTAACAAAGCCGGCTTTCAGTTATGTACTAATACAGGTCATAATGAATAAAGCATAATGTTGAGTGAGTGAACCATTTTGAAGTGTCTACTTTGGGTTTAATAAACAAAGAACAAGATCTTAATAAAGCCCCAGTATATGTTCTTTAAAATTGTGTGACCACTGTGTCCTTAATGCCACATTTTCATGTTGATTTTTCCAAATTTAGCTGAACCAAAGCATCTTTAAACTGCTGATTGTATAATTCCTCCCAAATACACATTGACTTACAAACATTATGTATGACATTTATTTCACCTATGCCTTAAAAACAGTTGCTAATATTCCAGCTCTGTGATATTAGCATCAAATACACTTTATTTGGAGCAGCTCCACTTTTGCTTCCCTACACATTCAGTTAAGTGGTTTTAATTGTTTTTTTCACAGGATCATCCCTTTTGAAAGGTAGTTTAGAAGCAAAAGTGGATCTTCTGTGGCAGAAGTCTTCAAATGCAGGCTTTGAGTCTAGTTTCTGCACCACAACGGGATTGAAGGTCAGGATTTGAAGGACCTCTGTTCTGTAGCATCTCTCAGAAAAACCCTTTTGGCACCCTTGTTTTTTAAAGTCTCTAGTTATAGAGGATTCAAAGTATAACAAACTGTTATTCACTCATTAAGATATATTTCCTGCTTACAGCCCCTCACTGTGACAGGCAGGAAGACTGAAGAGGTGCCATGAAGGTGCTGAATTCCAGATCTGCCTTCTACCTGGGCTTCCTAGTAGGTTCCTGCACACTGTACTTCTTTCTGAGAGAGGTGTGGTTTGAGCAGAACTTCGGCCTGTGGCGCAGTGGCCAGGGGGATGACTCTGTGTTGACGACTGACGACCCCAACTGGAAGGTGGAGGGTTCTGCTCTCATCAACCTGAATCACCCTCATCATACAGGTGTGTCAATGCTGCTCTCTAGTGGACATAAGTAACAGAAGCATGACGTATGATCAACAGAAAGAAAAGTAACCTGATAGCCTACAAATAGTTTCTGGGACCAGTTGTGACCCTGACATTTTCAGTCTTGTAAATTTGGATACAAATGACAAATATTTTGGATTATGCTGAAAAATTTAAACAGATATTAAACATTAAACAGATTTGTGCTGTCACTATTGCTCAATAAAAAATCAGTAATTAAAATTTGCCTTCTCAGTGAATTAGCAATGATTAGTGTCTCTAAAGTTATGGATTAGTGGCAGATTGCGTTATGATAATGCATATTTTAAATTCTCCTACTGGTCTTTCTTATAGTAAGAAACTGAACCTGATAGCCTGATTTTTCTGTCACATAGTGTGTTTATATATTGTTTGATGAAGTCTTTTTAAGGGTGTCCTTGTTTATATTATTTCTGTAAAGTATTTGATAGGTTATGCATTTTTTTTATTCTTCATTCAAATACATATTTATTATTTAGTCTTTGTTTAAGAAAATGAAACAAATTAAACAATTAAAACAAATTTCTCTTGAATTACTTAAAAGCTAAAAAAACCTTGGTCCCAAAAAAGTTGTGATAGTACATGAAATGTAAAAAACATAAAGCAGTAATTTGTAAATTTATTTTGACCTAGATCTAAAGAGAAGACAAGATATTTAGCTTTTTGTCAACTTACCAACTTAATTTTTTGTAAATATACAAGTCGATGGCTACAACACCTCCAAAACAAGTTGGGATCAGGGCGATGTAACACTAGGAATATTGTGAAATGTTCAAAAAACATCTTAAACAGATGCTTGTGTATAAAAGGAGTCTCCAAACTGCCTGTGACCTTCAATCTCTCAGACAGCACTGCAGTAAAAACCTGCATGCTTCTGTGATGGATGTCCCCACATGGCCTCAGGAAATCTTTGACAGACAGTTGTCAGTGGACACTGTTTGTTGCTGCATCCACAAATGCAAATCAAGACTGTGCTATGCACAGCAGAACCATATATCAACATCCAGAAATGCGGCCGACTTCTTTGGGCTCATCTCAAAAGGACTGATGCACAGTAGAAACGTGTGTTGTGGTGTAATGAGTCAGCTTTTTCAATTGTATATGGAAATAATGGAGGCAATTTTTTGCAGACCAGCGAAGAAAAGGATCCAAATTGTTACCAGTGTAAAGTTCAAAGGCCAACATCTGTGTGTTTATATATATATATATATATATATATATATATATATATATATATATATATATATATATATATAATGTATGTATATTAGTTTTTGTAGTGTTTTCATTTGAGTACAGGTCTAAGAATTTATTAATTACTGCTTTTATCAGCATTTCACATATCGTAGTTTGTAATATTGTCAATAGTGACGTCCTTTATGTATTAGAGATTATAAACATAGATTAGATATTTTAATTGTTTGTATGTGAGATACAGTCTTGACTAAGTTGTTCCCTGCACTGCACGGCTAAGAGTAGTGTTCTTTTCTTAAGGGGAAGACAGTCGTTTTGCAGATGAGCTCTATAAAAAGGTGCGTATCCTGTGCTGGGTTATGACGGGGCCCAGCAACCTACAGTCGAAGGCCCGTCACGTGAAAGCAACATGGAGTCGACATTGCAACACTGTACTCTTCATGAGCTCAGTGGAAGACCGCAGCTTCCCCGCCATTGGCCTCGACACGGGAGAAGGCCGCGACCAGCTTTATTGGAAGACCATCCGTGCCTTCCACTATGCTCTGAAGAACCACAGGGATGACGCAGACTGGTTCCTGAAAGCTGATGATGACACCTTTGTGGTAGTGGACAACCTGCGCTGGATCTGTCCAATTACTCCTCTGAAGAGCCGATCTACTTTGGCAAGCGCTTCAAGCCCTACGCCAAGCAAGGCTACATGAGCGGAGGAGCAGGTTACGTGCTCAGTAAAGAAGCACTGCGGAGGTTTGTGAAGGGGTTTAGCACCAAAGTGTGCACTCACACTACCTCGGTGGAGGACCTGGCCATGGGCCAGTGTTTGGAGAAGATGGGCGTGCTGGCAGGAGACTCTAGAGATACGCTACACCGGGAAACATTTCACCCATTCATTCCTGAGCACCATCTTGTCGGCAAGTTCTCCAAAAGCTTCTGGTACTGGAACTACTGCTACTATCCTATTGTAGAGGTAAGAATCCACCAAATGCATTTTTAGTGGCAGGTGTTGGCTTTACAGGCTATATAAAATATGTAAATGTAGAGAAAGTTATTTATTTTAATTTATGTGCATTTTGTATAGAGGGGTGGGCAATATGACAATAATTGAAAGTACTGTAACATTTTCACACTGCATTATGATAAAATGTGCTGAGCATAACATCAGTACTGACCAACTGCATTAAGCCATAATTAGCCCTTTTTAATTGGATTTGAAAAAAAATAAACATTCTGTATTTTTACATATTATTTTTCAAATGAGGCGCTACTGGTTGTTTTCTGTTGTAACGTGCCAAACAGATTCAGACGCTTGCAGATGTAAAAGACAAAGGAGACTTTACTCATAGAATCGCAGTCCAAGGTCGTCGTCACAAAACAGGCGTGGGTCAGTTCCAGAAAGCAGAAGAAAGACAAAATCACAAACATACGCCAGGCTAACAGTCCGAAACGGGAAAGGCAAAAACGTAGTCAAAAATACAGGCAAAAGGTCAAAAATCCAAAAATCAACAACCAGGCAATCAATCCGAAGAGCAGGGCAAAAAGGGCAAAGTCAAAGAACAAAAGCAAAGGTCAAACACGAGAAACATACACAGAAATAAACGCTCAGTAGATCACAGATCGGATACAATACCTTGCAGCTTCTCTAATCTAAAGCCCGGGCTTATATACTAAACTGTTTGTCATATGATGCACAACACAGGTGACACATATTAGTATCCGGGAGAACGAGAGCGCTGATAGGTGTGCGCAGTCATATGAGGAGTCAAGTGACCTCCTGGAGGGTTCTGGGAGATTGAGTCCAGATGAATATCGTTGTTGGCTGGTGGAGTGGAAGTTCAGTGAAGTGAAATGTGATGATCAACGAGGCACTCAGAGGATACGTGACATCTGTCTGTTGTAACTTTATTATTTCTCAGAAAAACTAATGAAATTTTGACTGATGATTAACTGTCTTATAGTCTTTAGATTTAGATTAAATTAGATTTAGTCTTTTCTTTGTTATTGAATGCTCATGCTTGAATTCCTAGCTATGTTTGATTAGTAGCTCTTGTTGTAATGTTTAAATGATAAACTACATTGTTTACACACTCCCAGACACTCATACAAATGTCTACAGATTTGTGAGTCGAACAAAGCTGCCCAAAATATAAGCAATAAAATGCTCATTCTGCTAGCATACATGCTAAAAATGTTAGAATTAGCTACAAAACTAAAAATGCACCAACATTACTAAGCATTGCCTTCCGAACAGCTACTTCTAAGTTAGAAGTTAAAACTTAATAGTTTTCATGTCTCATGGTGCCTCAATGAATACACTTACTGCTTTCTTTTATTTACCTTTATTTGCCTCAACTCAGCGCACCTAGTCCACATTCTTCTTGTTGCAGAGATCTGTGGAAAGTTATTAAGTTATTGTAGTCCTAAATAATTGCAATCATCTTAAATATTTGCGATCGTCTAAAATAATGGCGATTAGGTAATTGTGTTATAATTGTGACGGCCTAGAACTGCACTAAATCTAATTAAACATGACAAATTATTCTCTAAAATCATTTACCTGGACTATGTCTTTTTTTAACAGTATATTTTTAAATTCCTACAACAGCACGCTGTTGCTATGACAGATTGAATTTGTGGGCGGAGTATGGATAGGTTAAAAAAAACAATAAGATAACAGCGTAATAGGCGAATGTCCAGTCAGCTCTTTGTTATCAGACAGTTTTAAATTGACAGTGTGACACTACTGGTTTACAGGCTCTTGACAATTGACCTAAATCTCTGTTTACAAATGCAGTACGGCTGAAAGATTGTTTTAATACCAAAATCGCAAATTGAAAGAGTGCAGTTTTGAAATCACAAGCAAATATTTTTATTATAGCCTCTGTTGTTAACCTCGTTGTCCTAACAAGTTAATTGGGGAAATTTAACCTAAAATCTCTGAGCTTGTAAAATGCCTGTGGATAAGTTAGACCAGTCAGAAGCAGCCAAACACCCATGTGCTCTGTATGTAACTAACTGGCAATCTGGGGCACCAAGTTCAAGCTTCAAGCCAGAAAAAGTAGATATGCTGGTTTTCTTTACAATTAGATATTCTTTCCAAATTGTTCAATGGTAAATTGCAGGCATGCAGTTGACCAGTGTTTTAGAAATACTAATGATAGAAATGAGGAACTGAGGAAAATATATTGTGACATAATTTATCACAATAATGATAACATACCATATCATATCACCCACCTCTAAGTTTTTGAAGGAGCTGTTTAAATCTACACTAATGAAAGTGTCAGTCAAGCATCAGATGGTTCAGAAGACTCAATATCCTTGCAGTCTCTTAAGTTATTGCTTTACACACAAGGGAAATAAGCTCAAAGATGCATTTGCCCAAGGCACTCATCAATGGCATGTGTATGAATGTTTTACGTTGCCCCCCAGCTGAGGGCTGGACAGAAGTGCACACATGTTCCACTGTTATTCCCCCACTGACACTTGAATAGATTATTCAGGGCAGTGTATGATGTCTGTATCTTATTGCAGGGCGGTGATGAGTAACTGTCTTTGAGGATTGTTCTGTCATTTTTCTGTATTCTGTCTGCAGTGAATCAAAACATCTCATTGTCCTGAAATTGTAGTTTGGCAATGAAGAGAAAAATTAGGTAGAATGAGCAAAAGCATTACAAAGCGAAGTGCTCTGTATTGACAAGTCATTATAACTACAAACAGCCATTGTTCCTCTCCCCTGTGATGCTAGGATTGTCTGATTTATGATAATGCTATTATCATCAGCGCTTTTGTTGAGTCTCCTTGTAATAACTTAGGAAAAAAGAAAAACACTAAATTTAAGTGTTAATCAAAGAAAACTATCATAATTATAAACTTTGAAAGGAGTATAAGCAGTGATTTGTATCTTTTTATATTTGCTAAGTCTCATAAGCCTATTACGTGAACTCTCCATCTAACCTAGTTGTGAATTTTGTAGGCTTTCAGTAAGAGACATTATTTTTCTAGGAATTCATTTAAGCAGAAAAATGAAATCAAAAAAGTTGTATTTACAGAAATATTTGGCAACAGTTCATAAAGGTGTCTGCATGACAATCATAAGTCATAATAGAAGTGAGTAATACATAAGTAATTGCATGCCTACAAATTGCACCGATATGGTAGGTTGTGATAAAATAGCCAAGGATCATGAAATTTAATTGAAAATGTATGATGCATGACAGTAAAGCGGGAAGAAAATGATGCCTTTGAATGTTGGAGCTTGCGGACAGCAAAGAAAGTAAACAAATGGATTGTTGACGAAGATAAGCCTGGCCTCTCACTTGAGCCCAGCTAACCCAATGTACAAGCCGTTAAGAAGCCTGAAGACCCAAACAGAAGATATTCTGGAGAAACACCATCCACATGGTCACTAGGAGTTGGAAACGGACTTAACAGCGCTTAAAGAGGGACTCCTGACAAAAAGGAGTTTAACAATTTATTAATTTATTTAGTAATGCAGTGTTATAATTCTTATTCTTATTTTGATAAAATGTCATGATTTTATATCGTTTTAATGTTTTCGTCAGTTCTCTCATAATATTCTCTGACTACAATACCCAGCATGCATTATGCAAATACATCATGCAACCTTTGAGAATCCCCTTGGTTCTCAGTCTTGACTGCTAGCCTAGCCACTGATAGGGTAACAAATACAACCAAATTAGCTTTAGTGTAACTCTTACCTCATAAATAATCATAAAGAAGATCTTTATTCAGCACAAAATAGACACCAGATACAAGTTTTTACCATTTCAGCCAGAGAAAAGGAGCCAAACTGAATTAAAGTACACTATATGGCCAAAAGTATGTTGACACCCCTCCTAATTATTGAGTTCAGGTGTTTCTATTTAACAAGCAAGCTTGTTCTTGTTCTCATCTCACAAGTCTCTTCACTGTAATGATGATTTGCAGACAGTTAATGGAGTTATGGCATAACTGAAGTTTGAGGAAAGACCACGCCTAAACTCCTCCTTCCCAGTTTCAGCTTCCTATAAATACCACTCCTTCACTCCTCCCACTCGTGACGAAATTTCGCACCGACCCGGCTTCGTGCTGCTTACCTGCTATCATCTCGTCCTCATGGACCTCGACATTGTCGCTTCCGATGACGACCTCTTTAGAGAAAGCCAGCACCTTTCCTCCCAGGGACCCGCGCGTCCTGCACCCAGGCTCAGGTCCGTCGTCGCGGTTCCCAACACGCCTGCTGCCTCGGCTTCCTCCGGCTCCTCGTCTCGCCACGCCGGCTCTCGTACGGCGCGCAGCGTCTCCCGAAGGAGCCGG